TTTTGGGGCATTTTTCGACAAAAAATGGATTTTTGGATCCTGAGCCCTGGTATTACACCCAAACGATATGACATTCGGTATAAGGGTACCTTGAACATGTGTCTACAGAATAGCAGTCACATATTTGGCATACAACACTTCCAAATGACTCATTTGGGGGACTTTAATGGCTATTTTCAGCAAAAAAAAAGGCCAAAAGTGCTGTACCCGTTCCATGTTCTATCTAAAGAATGGCCTGTTCCATCCATGGACCACTGTTCCATTGCGGGTTACCTGGGGTCACATTGCACGTAAGTCGTGTGTAATGACCCACACATTCAATTTTATGTGCCTAAGACCTTCAAAATGTATCAAATCTCATGATTGTTAGTATTTGCATACCTGTAATAAGATTAGTAAAGCTTTCGAGATTCAAAGTACTTGTTCTCGCATCTTTGTTGTCATATAGCTACTATTTAATTCATTTATTTGAGAACCTTTTGCCAGTTTTGCACTGGGGTAAGTTTGGAATAGTCCACTTTTGCGTGAGAGGGAGATGGACTGAAATATGCTGTATTTGCTCCCAAGCAAATGTCGGCCTTTCTAGTTTGTTGACGTCTTTCACCATTGTAACAGGTGTTGGGTTACATAATGTTGCAATTTTATAGTAGGAGGGATGTAGACTCCTGTCTGACCATATATATTAATGTATTTGAGTAAGAATTAACAGCTGACCATATGTGAAGGTAAACATTTTGCATTTGCATTGCAAATGTTACCTTTCTAGTTTTTGTATTTTTTCTAATAACAACTTACGAGTTTTTTTGTGGGAGTTGTGGCATTTAAAGACATATTAGAATGCTTTTGTAGCATCGAGTCTCTTGAAATCTATTCAACTGGATTTGTTACTTTAGATATTAGAGCGTGCCGCAAAGGTGTCTCAGCTGGTCTACAACTCGGTAGAAGAACCGGTCATCGACGGAGACCGACTCAACAGTCGGATCATCTCGGCAACCATCGGGCACCTGGTGCTGAAGGACCTGTCCGACCCGGTCAAACTGGTCTTCACACATGTGCAGGTACGTTTCCTAAGCCCCTGTCACACATCCGGATCCTTCTACCGACAACCAGCCAAGGTTGGATGAAGTCCGGAAGCAGTCTGAACCTAAGCATGAACCTTGAACGGAGATATCAATCTGAATCTTGAACAAATTTAGGCCACGCCCATTTGTCAATAAGAATTGATTCAGAGCCGACTTTGCTGCCATCTTCTCCCAAACATGCTGACTTACTCTCAACCGCTCCCCAACCACAGCCCAACCTCCCATTCACTCTCGAATTTTCAAGAGTCTGGTCAAGAGTTCATGTAGAACGACAATTTAACTTGTAACAAGACACACTTGATTACAATTTAAGTGAATAGTTTACATGTAGTTCAATCCTGTTTTTCTTTTCAGCATGGAGACAACCCCGAGTGTGTGTGGTGGGACATGAAGTCTAACGGCGGGATGGGCGGCTGGTCGTCTGAAGGCTGCTGGGTGGACGTGACAGAGAACGGACAGACGGACTGTTACTGTGACCATCTCACCAACTTCGCACTGCTCATGGTAGGGAACATAGTATTACGCCTACACTACAGACTTCCTTACTTAAACTTTTTAATGTATAATTCTAATCTTTGTGACCAGTATTCTACGCCTAAGAATTACAAAAAAATGTTAATTTATTGCTGTTTTTTCATGTTTTCACTATAACGTCTCATTCATACGAAGCAAATTTAAACTGTAATTAATATTTTCAACAAAAAATGGAATTACGACGTTCTTCTGTGATCATATGTTGGAAATTACGCCTTTGATTTTCATCATAATCATAACTTCTATCAAACGCAGATGAACTTTCAAGATTGTTAATTTATTCTATTCAGTCTGCCATTTTGGCTTATTTCTGCCATGGACATTGCAAGCAGCTTTCCACGTCCATATTCTATCCTACAAATATGTAGTAATGCAAGTGATGCCATTGTCTACCCTCCACCAGGACGTATACGGTACATCTGCACGAGTGTCCAAGGGTCACCAGACGGCGCTGTCTGTCATCTCTTATATCGGCTGCGGCGTGTCTCTCATCGGGATCTTCCTCAGTCTGCTGACGTTTGGGATGTTCAAGTATGTCTTCGATACTAGCCTTCTTTTTTTTATATTTATTGACATATATTTATTGAGTATTGGTCAAAAAGCAAAAGTTGATTATATAACACTAAAAAACATACAACGAGTATAAAACACATTGACAAAGTACATGCATAATTACAAGGTGGATAAAACCAAGATAAATACAAACAAGACAAGTTGGTGATCTATCAATTACGAGAATCTACCCGTACAGTAAATGAAGTTTTGAACACATCAAAAACATTACAGTTTTGTAGGTGTGGAAGTAATTTGGACCCGCCTTATTTAGAGCAACAAGACGCTAATATAGAAATAATGAAAATTAAACAGTTTTGCAACTCAAAGAAATTGACTCTCCATAATTTTTGATCATGACTAAAACTCTTCATCAACTATCTGACGTACGTAGTTTAGACACGTGATATTCCTACATCAGTGACTTCATCGCTGGGTCGGAAAGTTTGTAGGAAGTCGGTACCGCCCCCCGTCCCGGTTGAATGAAAATCATTGTGCCCTTATGTAGATACTAAAACAAGAAACACAAAAAATTAGTTACCCAGACAAGCAAATGTATATGATCTTGGAAACGGTCAGACGTTTCAGAGGGCATCAACTACCTTTCGTCAGTGACACTGGAGAGTTGTGGTAAAAGCAGCTAAATCAAGAAGCCTGAAATTTCAAACACTACAAAATAGTACATTCGTCAAATCAATATTTATGGCAATGTTTATATTTGTTTTTGATTTTTTTACAGGAAAGTTCGCCGTGAGACTCCTACAAAGATCCTGATTAACCTTTGTGTGGCGCTGTTTATGGTGAACGCCCTGTTCGTCACGCTCACATCTATCCACGACCTGGGCATAGACGAGCTGTGCATGAGCTTCGCAGGTAAGACAGGTTTCCCTCTGTATATCATGGCGTGCGTTGATAAACGTTCATAAAAATCTTCGCAGTACGACTCGTAGGACTCTCTGGCCTTTCCTTTAGTGCCCCTGTGAGGCTTTTTGTGATGTTTTTGTTCGACGTGTGTTTTGTATTGCAATGTTGTATATGTATTGCAATGTTAATTTGTATTTGCCAGACAAGTAACTGTAAAAAATCAGTGTTATTCAGCATGTGTTTTACAGGCTGCAAGGCTGTTTTTTTTATTATTAAACTATCAAACTGTTAAACGATACAGTATACTCAAGGTGATATGAATATCTGTATTACGATAGAGACCAAAATTTGGTAGAATCAGCGATTCGTCAAAACTTTTATGCGTTGAAATTCCTTTGAGTTAAAGAACAGCCAATTTGTAATTTACCACCATTTCAACTATATATATACTCAACATCACAAAGAGACGAAAAAAGCCGAACCTCTGTATTAGAGCAGTTTTAGAGCTAATGTTTTTATCATCTGACTAGTATCAGAAGTTTTGTATGTACTGCATCTGTTTACCTGTACTTAGTCTGATATGGCATGAATGCACAATAAAGGTTATTTGTAACTTATAATAGTTGTAAGAATAATCTTGTTGATCGCCCGTCTCCTACAGTATTGATGCATTACTTCCTGCTGGCCGCTATGATGTGGATGGGTCTGGAAGCCCTGAATATGTACATCGCACTGGTCAAGGTCTTCAACACCTACTACAAACGCTTCATGTTCAAGCTAGCCCTCGCTGGATGGGGTAGGTTTCTATTTGTATACTATTAGAAATCAGTATCAATAAAAATACTGTATAAAATATATGAACACGCGATTGCTGATAAATCGAGGAGCCTGGTTATGAATTACCAAACTTATTTTAAGTACTGACTTAGCAGTTAAAATTGCCTAAACCTTGTTTGTGATCACCTACTATTTCTTATATAACGTCTCTTTTTCTGCATTTTATTCAGGGATACCAGCCATTGTAGTAGGGATCACCCTAGGCATCGACCACAAGAGCTATGGACCCTACGAGGGCATGTAAGTATAGCCTGCCACTTGGAGCCGCGTATCCCACTCTTGTTGCAACAAACAAAAATCTACGTATGGCACAGTTACATTACGTTCGAAACCACATTGTTAGCACATACACATGGCTTCAGTACACAGTGAACAAGTATTATCTAGCTTGTGTACACGGTGATCTAATCAGTTAAAGGCATCCAAAGCGATTTCAGGGCAGCAAAACTGGAAACTTTAAGTTAGTATCTGAAAAAGGCAATCTTTGTGATATTGACACTGCTTCACAGTAGCCCATTTGAGTCAGCATTTCATGCTTCGGGCTCTTTAAAACTGCAGAAACAAGCCCTAATATGAGTCCTTTATTTTCTGGGTGGTACCCTAAAAATTAGCCCAGGGCCCTTCCAGTAACCATTTTCCGTCAGGATTTGGGGAATTTTTGCTCCATGAGGGTCAATATACATTGGGATAGTGTGGTTTCAACTTGTTATGTTATGAATGACTAGAATATTGGATCTTAGAAATTGGGCTTTCAAGCCCTAAAAACTCCTCTGTGTGCCTTTAAAAGTACCCTGGTAAAGGTGACAGACGGTCACTATGGTATTAAAGCGTTCATATAGTTGACTTCCCACGCCTTGCCGTTGTGTAGTTGCTGGCTGTCCCGCTATGCCTTCCTGGGAGCGTTCCTCGCTCCGGCACTCTTCATCATCATCGTCAACTTCATCATCTTCACCATGGTCATCCGGACTATCGTGGGGCTGGAGGACCAGAAGAAACTCAAGGTCCGTAACAAATCTTCAGCATAACCAAAAGATACATTTATCTTCTTTCTGCTTTTGTTACGGTATAGTGGTGGAACGTCCAGTTTTGATAACTCGTGAGCTGGGCATCCTAGATTCACAAATCTTTGATTGTGAATAATTCTTGTCGTCGGAAATACTTTTCACAAATTTTGGCCCTCTAGCAACTTGTTCTTGAACTGCAGAGGCATATATCAAAATATCGAAGACAACTCAATAACAGATTGACGGATCGTCGCGATTTTTGGTAAATTACAAGAGTGATAATCATCATGACATAATTTGCAAAACTAATAGATTCATTCATCTTTATTCATGTTTTGGGACTACAGGTTTGTCTTAGGAAAAAGTACGTTTGCCTGTATAAAGTAGCAAAACATTGGTTTTATCAGTCTATAAAATTTTTACTTTATCAACTGTCATTACAGAAATCGACCAAGACCGACACGGCCACTAAGCTGAAGGGAGCCGTAGGACTGTCCATACTGCTGGGGCTGACCTGGGCACTGGCTATCTTTGCTATCCGGGAGGCAAACGTCGTCATCAACTACCTGTTCGCCATCTTCAACTCTCTACAGGGTGAGAAATTAGATGCCTTCATTTTCTTGTATTACCCTGTTTAGTATTGGTGAAAGCGACCGGCTGAAAGACCGACTGACGTCGGCTGAAGTTGGGGAGCAGTCAGACCAGATTTAAGCCACGCCTTTCTTTCTATGAGAATGAAATCGAATTTGAGTTAAATTTCAAATTTGATCCCCCCCCCCCTCCGAACTCGCCACGAACACTGTTGACGTACTACCAGCTAACCGTTGCCGAACCTTCACATCCAAATATGTTAAACCTTTTGAAACATTCGGCCGGCGCAGCCTAACAGTAGCCAATCTCGCCGAACACCATCCAACCACAGCCGACCTTACTCCTGACCTTAGTACCCCTATATTTGTGACAGCTACTTGGGCTTGAAAGTAATTTTTGCCCAGTGATGATATTATGGCAGTATCACCGATCGTGTATATGATGTTTTTTTTTTTTTCTATATTTACCTCAGGTCTGTTTATCTTCATCTTCCACTGCGTGATGAAGAAAGACGTCCAGAACAACTGGAGGAGGATGATCCCCTGCTGCCCCAACCCTCCCCCGGGTAGTACAGGTATGTACTTACGAACTGAACGTTATAGAACATAGGCCTATTCAATTAACACCTATTTTAAAGTCGTTAGCTGCTTCAAAGGTATCCAATGCTATTTCAGGCAAAACTGTATTTTCATTTTTTATGTATTAAGTTCAATCGATCCAATCCAATAGCATACTGATATCTGTGAGAAAACATGCGATTTTGCTGAAAAAAACGTTGATTTTAGCTATTTTTTGGTGGTACCAAAAATGAAGGGACAGCCCACGTAGCGTGTTTGGCTATTTCAAACACTTCAAGTATAAATGGTGACGAAAACGTGCTAAAAATTGCAGTAACTCTCAACATGAAACAGATTTCGAGAATATATATATATTTTTTTGTTTTGCCGTCCAGAAATTGTACTGGAAGCCTACCATAAGTAACGCACGTAACTGCATACATGTAAATACCGTCATAACGTACCAGGTAATATTAGATTAACCTTGTCAAAGAATGTAGATACGTCATTTTATCAATGACACCAATCAATAATTTCTTCGTACATGTTAATCACATTTATTCAGTTGCGATGAATACTTGATATTTCAAATCAAGGTGGCGGATTCAACACATAAAAGCCGGAAAATTGTTCCCGTTAACGTGATTTTATGTTCTATACCCAGTATACGTTCAAACAGCACCAAAACGAAATCAAATGCTCTGGACTCCCTCCGCAATCTCCATTGATGTGAAGAGCACGGATTGTCCCTCCTCACGAAATAACTCACCCTGGCCAGTGTTCGAAGGTACCCTGTTAAAAACTGAAGCCTTCTGGTTGTGCTGTGGGTGTGCCGCTCTAGCTGCTCCTCCTTGCGACAAGTTTCCTCCTTGCAGCAGATAAAAGTTCTCCCAACTTTGCATCTCGGTCTTGCTGAAGTTTGGTGTGATGGCGGTTTTCTAAACCTCTTTCTATCTTTAGAAAGCAACATTTGCAACGGCACGGAGAATGCTACATTGGGCCAAGAGATGTGCTGTACTTTGTACGTTGATGTTGTAAGGTTCTTCTTTCTCAACTAGTTGGTGTATCTTTCCTGTTGCTAGTATTGTATCCAGAACACTTTCGGGTTAGTATCAGGCACGGCGCTGGGTAGTTGTCACGTATCCAAGAGCGTAGATTCGCCCCTGGTACGGTTCTGCATACGTGTAGACTACCAAGCGCGTTTCGCTAGTGCTTATGCTGGGTTCACAAATCCTACACGGGACCCGGCCGGGCAGCTTTTGGGAACGAAAAATACGATATAAAAGACAACAGAACAGTGAAAAGCTTTTAGTGATAGTCATGGGCACTATTTCTATATATTCTTGATATGAATTGTTGATTTTTCGTTCGTACAACCCGCCCGGCCGGGCCCCGGTTTGGAAATGTGACCTAAGCATTAGCATGGTCCTTGATAAACCACTGTCCTGGATACAACAGCTAGAATGGTGCCGCTACATATATCTCTATTCACGTCAACTGTTCGTTCTTTTCTTTTTTTTAGCCTGGAGTACGCGTAGCCACATGAGGGCCAACAGGACAAGGAGCTCTCCGGTCAGCAACGGATCCATGGTTCGCAAGTTCTCACAAAGTGAGTTTACAGTTGTGCTTTAAAACAGATTATACGAATCCACATGGTTATAGTTCAAAATATTGTTACATACAATATAGTGAAACGTATCATCAAAACGTCAGAGTCATTGTGAATAAATGAATTTAATCATTTACCAACATGATGAAATTATTACGGATGTATTTAGAACACGTTAACTTCTTGCAGGTGAGTCGACCACCAGCCTGGCTAAAGACAAGCGGGAGATTGCGGAGACTGGTCTGTATAACGAAGCCTACCAGTACGCGCCTGAGGCTTTTAACCCACTGGCGCGAATCTAAAAGCTAACCATATAAGACACGGGGTGTCCCAAACCGACAATGTTTGTGATAAAGGGTCGGCATTTGTTCGGGGCTACAATTAACTCCAAATTAACTCAATTTGTAATTAGATTCATATAAAAATGTTGTCTTGACCTAGATCCGGTCAAACTGCTCCCGAACGTCAGCCAACCTTGAAATCGACGTAACATTTATGAAATAGAGTTTGTTGCCGAATCTTATGTGTGTGCCACACTGTACATGTTACATGTTACATGGAAAGCTGGTTATTCCTTGTAAAGATATGGAGTCGTTTGCTTCATAGGAAGAGAGATTTAATTGTACAGAATTGAAGAATTGGCAGTTATATAATCAAGAATGCTCTTAAATGTAAAAGATTCAACGTAAGAGTATACATTAGAATCACAATTTACTAACATTTATACTATACATGTTATATAAAATGAATATCTTATCTTATTAGGATCAGATGACAAATTTGTAATTTGTAACACTTATGATTAATTGATGTTACGTATGATTGAAATATACTGATTTTTCAAACCTTTGTTAATTATTAACCTCCCACTTTGAATAATGTAAAATAGCTGTATTGTCTGTATGCAAGAAATATGATTGTAGGAAAATTTAGTTACTAGTACTGTTAAGCTTTTATGAGAATTTGTTGCTGTAAATTTGGTTACATATTTGATTGAGTGAATTTTTGTCGTTCACCACAGTGCCTTACGTTGCAATGATGTGAATATTGTTTTTTGATGAATAATTAGATTTTACTAAAAATTAAACAAAGGTGAATCCTAGCTCTTCATTTTTTTTGCAATAAAGACTATAAATGTACTAACACAGACACTCCTTGCCATGTGTATTGTTTATTATGTTTATTACAATTTTTGTAATTAGATCAAATGAGCTTCACTGCCTTGTGTCACCATTAATTAACAATGAAGGGTAGCTCCTTCAAATCGTCATATCATATTGGTATAAAGCGGCAACTTTATGTGTAACTTAAGGAACTAGAAGTAGTATCTTGAAACCAAACTAATCGTGATTCGTAATACAAAGTAAGAAATGCTACAATGCCTTGATAATTAGTCTTCTACAATTAAATTGTTCTTTGTCAATATCTGATATTGTCTTCAAGGGGCATTATATAACATTTTATTTCCAGTTTATTGAAAAAAATGAAGATTTATATAAAATCTAGGAGGTGACACTTTTTGAACAAAATATGATCATGTCTTCTTAATACCTCAAAGTAATATCTCAAAATAATATCATATGTAAGTAAGTACCAACTCACATCACATCAAACTGCAGTAAGGCACACTGATTCATTGGTAGGCAAACATATGTCGTCATTCTAGACTAAGCGCAATTCTATAGGGAACTTCTGTATTAGTGCCTAATAGATGAACTAATTGTGACAGTCAAGTAAGAACAGGATAAACAACAGTTGTCATAATTCCAGTCTCTTGAAAACACATTAATCTGTTTCTTTTTATATTAAAAACACATTGATCAATTTCTTTTTATCTTAGCATTTCTTGCATCAAAATTTTAAGATATGAGAAAAATCTTTATGCGATTGTTATTTACTTCCAATTTTTCTACTAATTTCAACAATTTACGTCGCATTTCTCACATTTATGGTTAGCGCTAAAACAGGTACTAAAGCTGGAATGTAGATTTGTCAAAGGCGCGGTTCTGGATACCCGTGGAGTATCCAGAACCAGTATCCAGAACCGTTCATGGACATGGCTCTAGATATCCCCGGGCCATATATTACCCGGTATGAAATATATCAAGGTTGCTGTTTCTCAGGATATGCAGGTCCACCGGGATACGCTGGAGGATACGCCGCGTCTCCTCCAGGGTAGGGCGGGGGAGCGGCAACAAACCCTCCCGGTGGAGGCTGTGGGTACGCCGCCGGAGTAGACTGTGGGTACGCCGCTGCGCCCCCTGACGGCGGCGGAAGGTACGACATCGCGCCAGGTGGCGGGTACTGGGTCTGCTCCTGGCCGGGGTAGGGCACCGTCGTCACAGTTTGCCGCTGGTCTAGAAGAAGAAGACTATATGTAATATTTATATAAAAAAGTTTTTTTTTTTTAGTTAGAAACTTTGTAGGGGGCTGAATGGTTCATCTTTCAGATGGTATTCTGTACTCAAATACTGCTGCACGTGCAGACTTTTTTGTTGGAATCCAATATTTTTTTTAGTGTCTTGATCGATCCTGTCAGTGTTTATGTATGTGTTTCACTAGCTTATTGATTGATTGATTTATTCAACTTCTGTATGATAACTCGTGTTATACTTGCTTGTATTACGTATTGTCCGGTAGCGACATGAATATAAGTGTAACTTGAGTGTGTCACCACCACGTCTTGTCATTGTATGTTTCAATAAAAAGGAAGTTCGGCCACTGTTCAGCTGAATGCTTCAAAATGTTTCAAACAATTGGATGTGGACGGGACGGTCGGCGATGTTTGGCTGGTGTTCAGCTTAGTGGCAAAAGCCCGAAAACAACAAAATTTAAGAAAGAACAACACAAAATCTAACTCACTTCTTCTCTGTCGTAGTTGTTTGGCCCGGCAGCAGTAGGCTATGGCTACCAGGATGAGCAGAAATCCGCTTACAGCAAGCCCCACTCCTACCTTACCACCCATACTGGGAGAAAATGGCAACATGACAACACATTAGTCAAATATACATGCGCGCCATATTGCTACAGCTGTCTTAGGGAGTGACTAAAACACACACACACACACACACACACACACACACACACTGGCACACACAGAGACACTCTCACGCACACACACACGCACACAGGCACACACACACACATGCACACTGGCACACACACACACACACACACACACACACACACACACACACACACAGACACAAGGTATCAACAATGGATATCACCCAACAATGAAGTTGTGGTATTATTAATAAAAGAATTCGAAAGAAAAGGTTGAACCTGAAGCCATAGTATCGGTGGCAGGCGCCGTAGACTTTGTCCCAGCAGTCGTCGCAGCAGTACTTGTTCTTACTGGTCCCACAGCAGTATATCTCATCACGGTCGTCATAGCGGCCCGGACAGTTAAACCCGGGGCGATAGTGTCCGCCATACTCTGTGTAACCGCTACACCTCTCAGCCTCACCTGAAACACAGGTAGATATTACGCAAATGAAAGAAAGAAAGATCTTTATTGTACGTTTATGCTCTTATGAGCTACATTAGATATGGGCAATGTATAAAGCACTACAGTACTACAGTAGCATCTTACTGAAACTATACATACTAGTGTGAAGTACTATTTACAGGTTCAACCTCTTCTCGAGGCAGTCGCTTCCATGAAAATCACATTGGTTTCAGTGTAATCGTATTATTGTACCGACCTTTGCAGGTCACGTAAGTTAATGATATACAGGATTATCAGACATGGTACAGAATACCTACTGCTAAACAAACTGTGTCACTGACTACCAGGTACGTAATGGATCACGAGAACTAGTTCATAAATCATAGGTTCTTAATATCGTTTTAATCTGATTGACATTTTTTTTAAAAGACTACTGTTTATACGTTTTGGAAAGCTATTTTCATGGTGTAAAGATTGAATGTGACCATGGCAACTGAAACACGTTATTCTAGGCAGAAAATAGCCTCAAACAGGCCTTCCTGAAGGAGATTAAAATTTGGCACAAATAGGGTCTCCATAGCTAGGGGAGTAGATCTGCCGTTTGAGTTTCATTTCCCCTCCGTAAGAGCAAGTAAACTCTACGGTGGCTGAACTCCCCTGGCCAATTGTTCCTCCTATTTCATTAAATTTTACTGTTTTTGAACGAACGTCATTTAGACTAGTAGAGACTAGACAGAAAATAGGTCGCTTGACAAGAAAGCAAACAGAAGCAACATGGAAAAGATTAGGGACCAATGTAACGTCTGTATGTCAAAATAAACTTCCAGTCGAGTGCTAAATTTGGGGTCACAATTTGAAACGTCTAGTCTTACCTTTCAGGTGGTAAGGTGGTCTTGTAGTTAGGTTGTTGACTCAGAAACCGAAGGGTCTGGGTTCAAATCCCAGGGAAGGGCACATCTACACCTATTTCCCCATTTGACTCATGGGGAAAATGAGTACCTAGCTTCAGTTAGGGACATCTCTCGGATAGACAAATACACACTACAAGTACGTTAAAGGATGGATCCCAACACACATATCTAAAAGAGTAGGGGTCCTTCCGGGTCAAGTTAAAATGTTCAAACGTTACAGTCTGGTTTCAGGTTTGACATCACGAAAAAGTGATAGATAGTAACCTGTTATGTCAATCCTTCCATAAAAGTCTTAATGATAAAAAGTTAAAATTAAAAATAATTAACATAAACTTGTATTTGACCGTACACCTATAATACCTACATGTAATGTACAAACATACTATCAACGTGTGTGAGAAAATTAAGCTATAGGTAGGTTTTATCTAGAACAATGTCACGACCAACTGATTGTTGTAAATTAAGATGAAAATTACCTGGTGTGAGATTCACAGCCAGCACAAACACTAGCAAATACAGGAACATGGTAGCTTCACTGTGACGCAGTTCAGTATGTGTTTCTACTGTTCTACTTCCTTTACCTGTAATGGCGTCATTTGACCGCACCATTTGACAAACGGGGGACAGTACACATATCTAAACGTATTTCTAACCGGTACAAAATACAGTTTAATGATAACAGAGTCCTAACCATAGGATAGGTAGCTGTCCCCTTCTATGATGTTCAACTTTATTTCGCTATCATGTATTCAAGTTACGTAGAACTTAGCAACGGACATGGCTCCCTTTGAATTGTCACCTAGGTGAGACTATAGTTGATACTTAATGATTAGCCAATGTATGGATTGCAACTGCAGTACTACCTGTTTACGCTAGGGGTAGAAGGCTTAGTCATGATTCTGAGTAGCGACACAGAGCAATGTCGGAAATTTAGACGTTTGGTAAGGCGTATTGAACAACCGATGGTGAGCTAAATGCAATGACAGTTGATAACAATATTATTGAAGTTCTTACTCTGAACTAGAAAGTGAAGAAAGACTCTGCTGTTATCTGGCACGAAAACTTGGTGACGCAATTCTCAGCTGTTAGAGCTGAAGTCAAATATTCAGAACCTTTCCCCGAACACCAGCCGACCAAGGTTGTCGTAAGTTCTAACCAGATTTAGGCCAAGCATACCTTTCCATACGAATCGAATCGATTTCTAGTTAAATTGGAGTCAAATTTGACTGACAATCACACCCCGACCTACTCCCCAACACAAGCCAACCAACAGCCAACCATGGCCGAACCTTCCCTCCACAACCGAATGTTTTACACATTTTGAAGACTTTAGGCTGGCGCAACCGAACAGTAGCCAACCTCGCCGAACTCCAGCCGACGGCGGCCGACCTGCTCCCGACCTCCTCCCAACCACGATTTGGGAGAGTTCAGCACTGTTCGGGAGACCATACTTGGCTATGTGTGACTGGGGCTTGCTTGAATGTTGTTATTCCTGCAGCTCCGGTCGCTTCGGCCCTTTTGTGACATGAGATCTAACATACAGTTGCGGATTTTGTGTAATTCTATCCCCCTGCTCAGCTTGTGTGGAATGGATTAACATTACCATAGCAGGTGCTGACTCTTAGGAGGCGGTTCTCGTCATAAGGAAAGGATTAAGGTTTCTGCACTGGCTAATTTGGTGATTTAAATTTGCACTGTTTTACTGGTAAAGGAATGAAAGAGAACTGGGTTTGTACTGAATATTGGTAGCTAGCAACATAAGCCCCCCTCCCCCCCCCCCAAAAAAAAAAATTGGTACCACATGCACATGCATGACGTCATCAAGTTTTATTGCCCTTTTTATTAATTTTTTTCAAAGAAAAAATTCAGAGCTTTGGCAATTCCAAACAACATAAAACTTCGTTTTTTTAATTTCATAACAATGAAAGCTACAACGTACGTTTGCGCAAACGAAAATATACTATATAAGACTATAGAAGGAGGATTGAACCAGTGACAATGATTTTTGAAACTTATAACTCTGGAAGAGTAAAGATAATACTTGTATACGCTTTATGTGTCTTTGACAGGAAATGTTAGCCTCTACCAGGCTTGAGAAGCCCCAGAAAAAAGTAGAAATTGGCCAGATAGACAGATTATATACCACGGGAGTTGGACAGCAAAGGAGAACAGTTCCGACCGGCAAACTGTACTCCTGTGGCGGACCAACTCCACTGGCATGATGTTATTTGTGGTAAGGCCACACCGCCTTAATCTTATGGATGACATCCTCTGAAGACTCCCAAAATAATGCGCGCGGGCGAATAAAAAAAAAGTCCGGTCAAAAATAAAAATGCTACTAAACCACAGGAATGCAAAGCTGGTATTGTGAATTTAGGGCAGTACATAGTGACGTATACGACAAACGGGCACATGCTGGCTTTTTGCGGAATTTATGAATCGGCACTGTACGTATGTACTGAGTTCTTGAGTCGTGGAGCTTCGGCAGCCTGGGTGCCATCCTCCAGAGTTACCACAGGCTCCGTATTGTCGCTAACTACCCAGGCCTAGAACCAGGCCAGAGCCTCGGAGGACGTGCGTTTTGGGGGGAACAGGCGAAAATCAATGCGAGGGCGGATGTCATCCATAAAATTAAGGCAGTATGGCCTAATGTGATAGGAATGGAAGGGAATGGGGTATTTATTGTTAGATCAATCTGAGCCTACAGATTTTGAAATATTAGTTCCTCTCGAACTCTCAAATTTGACGGCCCGACTTACGGTTTCTAAAATGAAGTGTCCCCTCCTCGGCGGTATAAATGAACGACACTTTACAGGTGGCCTGGCTTACAGCTTGCCCTCTAAAATAAACAGCCAGTGTTGACGGCAACCTGAAATATTGATGGGCAACCTATACTAGCTTTTGGCCTCTGAACCTTGGCCTACATTTAATCAGCGTCTGTGAAAATGAAACTCAATTGACGTAGATACACGGGAATTATTGCTCTTCTATATTGGCTATACAAGGGTACTAATTATGGTACATGCTTTAATGTATGTGCACATGGTTAAACATTAACAGGTGGCTGTGGTTTGCTAGTTTGTCGATGTCGCCTATTGGTCGCCTGCGCCAGCCAAATTTTTTCAAACTTATCTAAAACATTAAAACATCCGGGTGTGGACTAAAGGTCCGGTCATAGTTGGCTGGTGGTTGGCTAGTGGTAGGGAATGACTCAGCAGTGTTAGGGATCAAATTTTACTTAAATTTAACTCAAATTTAATACGATTCGTATAAAGCTAGGCATGGTCACAATCCGGTCAAACTGTTCCCAAACTTTAGCCGACCCTTATTTGTTTATTGTCGGGGGAAGGTCCTGAATGTGTTGTAACAGTGTGGGGTTTATAGGCGCTACCAACTGACCCGGCCAATGGGTCTAGACCTTTTAGCCGATTCGGTAGGAGCGTCGGGTTATGAAGTGGCGCCCGGGTTTGGCTTGGTGTGTCTTTCTGTTTCTACTCTCCTAATTCTTACAATGGATTGTAAAGGGCCGATTAACGCATATGTGGTACTTTCCTCGAAGAATGTTATCAGGTCGCAGAAAAACTCTCCTTGCGTGACCCAAGCTGGAGAACGTTGACGGAAAGTCAAAGACTTGATAGTGTTGAAGTTTATTAAATTAAAACGAACGGGTTGAAAACAAATTTCCTCACGCTTGGCACCAATCTTAAACCCCGGTCTCACCTTCACAGAACCTTCCCCGACCCGGCTAACCAACCGAGGTTAAGTGAAGTTCGGGAGCAGTTTGACACTAGATTTAGGCCACAGGAAATAGGTGTTTTAAAGTAAATGTCTTTCCCAAGGACAAAATGCGGCCTGAAAGAATTTGAACCCAGAACCAAATTCTGAGACTAGTACCCTAAGCACAAGACCTCCTTGCCAAATTCTCTCGAAACATCGAGAGGTCGATTTTAGCAAAGTTCTTTGAAGTCATTACTGCATTCTCGAGAATTTTGTCGGCATCTTCAAGACAAGTCTGTCCTGGAGTTCTCCAGATTTCTCGAGTTTGTTTGCATCCGGCTGTTTCTGTGGAAGGGTAGGAATGTCAGACATCTGGGTAAGAATCTGGTGCCAAGTTCACAAGACATCCGGTCAGGCTCACGCGTGCTGACGGAACTATCAGGCCTGCAAGGTCAGGGTCACGTGCACACTGGAGTCTACGAGGCCATGGTCACGTGAACACTGAAGTCTACCAGGCCATGGTCACGTGAACACTGAAGTCTACCAGACCATGGTCACGTGAACACTGAAGTCTACCAGGCCATGGTCACGTGAACACTGGAGTCTACCAGACCATGGTAACGTGGACACTGAAGTCTACCAGACCATGGTCACGTGAACACTGGAGTCTACAAGACCATGGTCACGTGGGCGCTGGAGTCTACCAGGCCGTGGTCACGTGAACACTGAAGTCTACCAGACCATGGTAACGTGGACACTGAAGTCTACCAGACTATGGTCACGTGGACACTGAAGTCTACCAGACCATGGTCACGTGAACACTGGAGTCTACCAGGCCATGGTCACGTCAACACTGAAGTCTACCAGGCCATGGTCACGTGAACACTGAAGTCTACCAGACCATGGTCACGTGAACACTGAAGTCTACCAGACCAAGGTCACGTGTACTCTGGAGTCTACCAAACCAAGGTCACGTGAACTCTATGGTCTACCAGACCATGGTCACGTGAACACTAAAGTCTACCAGATCAAGGTCACGTGAACACCAAAGTCTACCAGACCATGGTCACGTGTACTCTGGAGTCTACCAGACCATGGTCACGTCAACACTTAACTCTTCTTGCCCGAGGTCACGTGAACACTGAAGTCTACTAGACCAAGGCCAAGTGGACACTGAAATCTACCAAGTCAAGGATGTTTGGTCAATGTCGCATGAGAATTTTGGTCGTTGCAGACGATATCTTTTCTGATACAAGATTTGAAAACTATAGAGGTGATGTCATCCCTGAATACGCGAGACCTTAAACGAGACGTTCTGCCGAAGTGCATCATGGGCTCCCCTCCACTTGGAAGTTTGGAATATTCGGGGGGCGTGAAAAGATCTGAGACCTGGATTATTTGCCTGGGCTTCAGTATCTGAGCGGTAGGGGTTGATAAAATTAAAATCACAATTCCTTTGAGTTAAAACACATAAATGCTGCCCATTGTGTATTTTTGCTTACAATATTATATTACTGACAACACATCAGCAAGTAGAAAAGCACGCTTTGTGATTTATGATACAATATTTTCAGAAATTCAATGCTTCCTCCCCCATCCTGTTTTGGTCTATTCTGACAGTTACCACCGAAGTCACTAACTCGAGGTCGTCAGACGAGTGTAGTTGGGACACCAGGGATAACCATGCACTTTGCCACCATTCTACTGCTATGTACAGGTAGGTTATCGTTTAACATGTCTTTTATAGATAACGTATTACTAAGGTCCAAACAGAGGACACTTGGAGCCTGCACTGGTTTGTAGACTTTAGTTCTTTTGTTGTGTTTGGCCGTGTTAGGATAAGGGGCGTATGACGTTTTTTTTCAGCAAGGCGGTAGCATATCATGGCCGTAGTGTGATCTTAGTTTTGCGTGCTGATGTTGTAGGCTTTCGTAGGATATTCATAGTTCAACAAGTGTTACGTTCAGATCATGAGCCATACTCGAAATTCCTCTTGTCTTATTGACGTAGTTGTGGAAAGGTCTGCATGGAAAATTAATTGGCAATTAAAGTAAGGAATAACAACGTTTGTACACATACCCATTGACTGTGATTCGATGTGTGAAACACACCACCTTGCCCACACACATTGTCAATGTCACTACAAAGAAAGGACGAGGGGGGGGTCTGAATGTGTGACAAAGGCTTCATCAGTCAACTGCAACGTGGGATAAAGGTTATTGTCTTATAATAAGGAACGCAAGTGAGACTTAGATGGCATTATGTCACCACCAGCGATTTCCCACTAGTTAGGCAATCTAATAAGCTAACACGGTTTAGGTATCTTTGTGTGTGTGACGTCCATGGCATAAAGAGCTACATAAGTGACAGACGTATCTTACCATGAATTGACAAGTTTGTTCCGTTGGTGTTGCAACTTTCTGCGAAGAAAACTGGCGTTGTCTTTATGGCTATTTTATGACACGTGTAGTTGAAGAGAAAGCGCCCTGAAGTACTACCTCTGCCACTCCCCCCTCCCCTTCTACACACAGGTTTTATTTGTTTAAACATGTTTGATGGCTCAGGTCAACAGGTAGTGCCCGGAACGGCCCCATATGTCAACGCCTGGACAACTTTAACAGGACGGGGTGGGGTATCCAATGGGGGCAGCAAAATCTGAAATATTCTGAATAAGCCAAGCTTTATGATATTGACACATACTGCTTCACATAAGCACATTTAAATCAGTATTTCATACTTTGGGCGTTTAAAACTGCAGAAACAAGCCCCTAGATCAAGTCCTTTATTTTCTGGGTGGTACCCTAAAAATTGCCCCAGGGCCCTTCCAGTAACCATTTTCCGTCAGAATTTTGGGAATTTTTGCTTTATGATGGTCGATATGCATTGGGATAATGTAGTTTTTAACCCAGTATGTAGGTAAATGACTAGAATGTTGACTTTGAAAATTGGGTTAAATCCCTAAAAACTACTCTAAAGGTATCCAGTGCATTGTCAGGGAGGCAAAATTGGACATATTCTGAATAGCAGGCTGTATAACATTGACACATGCTGCTAGACATAAGCCAATTTGTACTTTGGGCATTTAAACATGGAAGAAATTTAAACAAGCCATAGTATGAGTCCTTTTTTTCCAGATGGTACCCCAAAATCAGCCCTGATTCTATTTTTCCTAACTTTCCTTAAAAAATTTCGGCATTTTTTTTTGTTTCATAATGTTGATATACATTGGGATATTGTTTTTCTACCTAGTATGTAACTAGTGATTAGTGACTAAAATATCGAATTGGAAAATTTGTTTTTTTTAACCATAAAAACTGCATTAGACAACTTCGTAGGTTTAGGTCCTTTTTTTTTTTCTCACGGCAGATAAAATCTTTTATAATCCATGTCAACATGTCAGTATTTCATAGTGAGTCTGTTTGGAAACATGTATCTTGTCAAATTAATCGGCTCTTGCTATAACGATTAAAATGTCGGTCGGCTGTTTTGGTGATAACGTGTTCCATATGGGGGACCTTTTAGTGTAATTTCGTGCTCAGTGGGGGTAGCTAGGCTTAAGGGCCGGGAGGTCGCTAGTGTAAGATGATCTTAATCGCGATTTCGGGGTTACTTAAAGCCACGCAAAGCGATGACAGGGCGGCAAAACTGGTACCTCTGCAGCCAGACTGGATATCGGGCCGTTAGCCTCTTCCATTCGGTGGTCAAAAGCACTACGCCCGTCTATTTAAATTACCGCTACGGAGGAGTTGAGCCCGAGGGATTTTGACCAACCCTTTACACGGGGAAATGCAATTTTTATGGCGGAAAGGTTTAATTTTGAGTTAAGGTCAATTTTGTGCTCATTCTTTTTGGGCATGGTTTTGCGAATAAAGTTTCATTTAAAATTCTTTTAATGTAGTAACTTAAATCGATCCCATGCCATAACATATTGATATCTGTGAGGTTAAAAAAAATGCGATGTCACTGACAAAAAGCAGTTGCTTCATTTGTATTTGTTGCTTCATTCATATTGTACATTTACATGTAGCTATTTATAGTTGGCACCTAGATAATAAAAAGACGCCTCACATATACATGTAGCTTGTTTTGTTCAGTGAATGATAACGATAAGAAATGGTAGTAGATGCAATATGAGGCAGATTTTCTCATCCAGAATATCTTCGACCAGTAGGCTTAAAATGTAAAAACATACATTCTATACTGTCTCTAGTGAACTTTTGTTAAGTATTTTGGGAGCGATGTTAGCCCTAGAGCCGAGGAGCTTGCCTGTGCAGGTCCTGCAAAAAATGTCTGGCATCCAGTCTACTATCAGGGCTGTTTCACAAATTTTGATTGAGGGAGAATCGCAAAAAGAATAGATTTTCCACCATTTTAAACTACCTGTTCCAAAGATTGTATTTGGAAACATTTCCGTTTTCTGAACGTTGATTGAAACCACACCTTGGAGCACTGGGACTGAAAAACACTTGACTTCTTAACCCGAAAACAATATTTCTTGAGTTCCCTTGACAGGTCGGACGTACATAAAAACAGCACTCGTGCTTTATCTTGTGTACATAACATCTATTTACAATCAAACAGCAGCTAATTGCTCAACCGATAGTCTCAAATACTCCACCCCTCATCGAGACTGGAATTTCGGATTACTGATAGGAGGGGGCCCGCAAGCCCTTTTCCGTAGAGCGTAATCGGCCGTTTTTAATTCTACGTAGAGAGACGGACCGCTCTTCGCATTTTGCGTAGAGCGTATTCGCCGTTTTAATTCTACGTAATGCGTTGTAGCCACTTGGAATTTATCGTAAAGCGTAATCGAGAGGTTTCCGAATTCAGCGTAGAGCGTTGTCGGGACCCCCCCCCCCCCTTCGCAGGCCCTCATAGGATAGCCTCTACCAGGCTTTGGAAGCAGCTGGAAAGAGTAGATATTGGCCAAATAGACATGCCAGGGGAGGTGGTCTGATAAAAGAGTACAGTTGGCGGCAAATGTTTAGCGGACCGACTCCACTGCACTGGCATGGTATCTGTCAACTTTGCCAATATCTACTCTTTCCAGCTGTTTCCAAAGCCTGGTAGAGACTAGTCTGTGTATTCGATCGTTTTCTACTTTTTTCCAGCCGTTTCGAACCCGTGTAAGGGCTATAGGTTACTGAAAGAATGCCTCAACGACTTATGTGTGCCAGGTCAAAAACTCATTTTTTGGACACAGCCTCCTAGATACGTAAGCTTTTTTAGAGCGGCTGTTTTTTTTTTGTGGGGGGGGGGTTACTTTTCTTTTTTTATTTACTTCATAATTCACCACAAGACAAGGCTCATGGTAGCCACTTAAATGTTTTGGGTATCTGTACAGCCAGTGAGGACAGAGGTTTGTTGACCTTACACTTCAAAGGATTAAGGTTGTAACCATGTGGGAAACAATCACGTGGTAGCTTGTTCCATAGTGGGAACGCGGGCTTAATTAAAGGGTCTCTAGTAATACACCTCTAACCCGCTCTTCTAGCACAGGTGATACGGCTCTGTCAGTGGATACAAACCTCCTGAACTCCAGGGAAGGGTCTAAATGTGCGACAGGGGTTAAATTATAATGGGGGCCCGGGGGCCCCTTTCCGTAGAGCGTAATCACCCGATATAATTCTACGTAGAGCGTAGACGGAGCTCTCGAATTCAACGTCGAGCGTAACTTACGCATTTTGCGTAGAGCGTATTCGCCGTTGTAGCCACTTGGAATTTATCGTAAATCGTAATCGAGAGGTTTCCGAAGTCAGCGTAGAGCGTTGTCAGGACCCCCATAATTGTTTTACAGTGCAAGCCACCTGCATGCAGTATATTGTAACACGCACAAGTTGTAGCTCGTTAAACCCCACGGTGTGAGTCAAGGGTGCTCATGTCTCTCCTCTGGGTTTATTACTCCCGTTTTATATCACCTTTCAAACCACCGTGCTAAAATAAATCAGACACTATAATGGGTCATAAATGTCATAGCAAGCTCTACTTGACAAGCACGATGATAGTCACACATTCAGAACCTTACCCCGACCCCAATTAACCAACCAAGGTTGGCTGAAGTTCTGTATCTGTATCTGTATAGCCGGTATAACCGCCCTTCGGCGTAAAACGCAAGCTTCGCAAGTACGACGCGGCGGCAGCTAGCTATATCACACCGAACGACTCGTTACACTTAATCCTTGTACATTTCATTGCAGTAGTTTTTAAAAGCTTTTTAGTGATGATAGCCCCAACTGTGCTTGTTCGGGAGCAGTATGACTGGATTTTTCGGTCACGTACTTTTTAATACGAATCGCACCGCATTTGAGTTAGATTTGAGTCAATATTGTGACCCTCGGACACTGCTGACATAGTCCCGAACACTAGAAAACGACCAGCTAACCATGACCGAAATTCTTGTCCATCTCTAAAAGTTTTAATCATTTTGACATACACTGCTAGTGGAGCCGAACAGTAGCAAACCTTGTACGGACGAAAATTCATGCGCGCTCGACTGACATATGATCAAATCAACATGGTCTAAACAGGTACTGAAAACTTCACCTTTCGGGGCACCAGGGTTGATGCAGGTTAAACAGAGCGTGGCAGAGGTCGCTGAGACTATCGGATCCAGTTCGTACCTCCCGTCTAGGGCGCTACTTTGGACCGGTGCCAACAGCCAAACCGCACGTTCTGTGAGCGGACGGAAATCTGGCTACTGCATGGTAGTGCCAAGCTTGGGAACAGATAGCAGAAATACTTAGGATACAGCTTTTTTATTTTAGGGACATTTTCACGCTTTCGATGGATAATGATTTAGGTTGATACGTGTTGATAAGACCTAGAAATGATTAGATTTTGGGCCCCCCTGCGGGTTTGCTTGGCACTGCAGCATAACTTCAGGTTTTGATATTTCACGATCTGGGCATGCTAGGGTCACGAATTTTCGATGGTAGGTAGCTCTAACTTGTTGAAATTATAGAACAGATATAGAGACGAGATGGCGACGCACTCAAGTTACATTGACCTTATATCAGCGGCCACGCCACCATCACATATCAAAAGAATTAGACAATGATATAATGAGGAACAATTCGTGAGCTAGTTTTTTTTTAACACGCCCGTTATTTCCTTTTCTTTCCTTCATTGATTATTGAGCCTCTGTTTATCCAAAGAGACAGAATGAAATATTAGCTGGGACGTTTTAACAGGGCACGTGTGAGATTTTATATCGTCTTATACCAAGACCAACCAAATTCCCATCTAGGCCTTCTTGAGTTATCGTGTTTACAGACAGAAAGAGACACATTCACACGAACGCTACGAAAATATTCCTTTTTGGCAAAGGAATGTACGGTAACTTCTCGTGTTGTCATGTTTGCGTGGCCAAGTGCATTGGAGAGATATCGCAGAGCGAGATTTCAAGATAAGAATTTTGGTGTGTCCAAAGTCTTCATGGATTACTGAAAGGAACCTAATCGCCCTTGAAGACCACCGTTTCCTGTACAGAGCACGCAAAGGCCACGTAGTTATCTGCTATGTAACGTTATCCTACCCGATTATATTGTTTTGAGGATAAACAAGTGGGCCAACCGAACGACGTCTGCTTGGAGGACGTCAGCTAGGCTAACCACACAAAGCGGCTATTGGCAATAGCTGGAGACTGTTCCAAAACTTGAAGATGGGGGTGTCGTTTGGTAATGTTACATTGGCTACTGAAAATTAATACGGTGTCAAACGACAACAACAAACAAACAACGTGCAATCTCTCGCAAATACTATCAGACGACATGGCAAGCTACATACGAACGTAGCAAAGGTAACGTGAGTTTTAGCTGTGAACGCACGGACACAACTGATTATAATACTCCTTTTGAGGTCATTGACCTCCTTCATGAAGTTACAAATGACCTATAATGTTGTTTTACTTAAGTGTCCCTGTATGGTTGCATAGCATCAATTCCCATGTTTCTTTCACGAAGGAGCCGTGTTCTTCGCTAGAGGGGACCCTGTCAGCGAAGGGGATGGCATCCATCCACGATCCCCACGTGTCAAGAGAGCCCCTGGCGATACGGAAAGGGACTGCACAGCGACGCCTCCGGTAATACGTTGTTCTATGGAGTTTAGCACATTTCTTTGAGAGACTTCTATTAGAACCCAAAAATAATTTCGTCAGGTTGCGGAATGATTGAAAAGTAAATTTCTTTGTCACTCTTCTTCAGAAGAGAGAATTGTAGAGTTTGATTTATCTTTTTTTTTCCTATCCCAAAATGCAGTACAAAACATGACGACGACACAATTAAGTTTTTATCTACTTATTTTTATGCCGCCACCAACGCAGACAAACGCACGGACAACAGACATACTAATTTTCACATGAGTTAAGTGAGGAAATTCGTCTGAAGATCGGTGGCATGGCAGGATTCGAACTCAGGACCTCTTGGTTCCAAGTCTAACGTTCTGTCGTTGCGCCACACAGTTAACTCTTATCTGCTGCTTGTGTTATACTTCAGTACATCCCCCCGACGGCTAAAGACACAACAGCCCTGCTGGCCAGTCTGCGGCAGGCCATGCAGACTAGCGGGTACTTCGCCGGCTCTATACAGGCTTATATTATTCCTGCAGGAGACGCGCATCTGGTGAGACCTACTCATATTCTTAGGCCTGTATGTAACGCTTTTACAATGAGAGAATGCATTGTAATGGACAGAAACGTTTAAAATACAATATGTCAGTACTCCATTTGCATGGTAGTCATAGTTTTTAGAATAGACTAGTACATTGGTTGCTTTGTTATTGTCGCCATACATTGAACCATGGACAAGGGACTCACAAAGCTTTTTTTTTAGAAATGATGACAAAAATGTGTTAAGAAAAAGGCAGTAAATGTTCATATCAGACGTACAGATTTCCTCATCCAGAATATTTATATTTGTTTTGCGACCCTGTGATCGCATGATTCCATATTGAGTGGATGATTAGGTCGTCATGATCACCAGAATGGTGCTCAACCTTTGTGCCATTCATTCTATCCGATACTGATCATCATGAACTGTAACCACTACTCAGAACAAATACTTGTATCTAACAATAGATATTTTCTCCTCAGAGTGAATACATCTCCACACGGGACAAACGTCGTGAGTTCATCAGTGGATTTACCGGGTCAGCAGGTAGGGGGCGTTTTAACTCTGCTGTTGTTAATTTGGGCTGCCCAGACTTACCCCCAGCAAAGATCTTATTATAATAATACAATGAGGCACTTGGATTTTAATGAGCTTGTGGCTAACTTGATGCTTGTGAATATGTAGGTGATATTTAGGTGATAATTGACCCGAGATCACCGCCTATGGCCAAATGCACCATGCCACCCTCAATTTTGCATTCGAATTGCGCGCTCATTTTTTCCAGGAGAGCTAAATAAATTTTCAATGTTATTTGATATTTCTCTTTTTCGAATTCACCTAGAAGGCTTGAGCTTGGCCTAAACATTCATATCCGTAATGCCCCTTTAACATATCCATAATGTCCCTTTACACACCCTATCGGTTGTCCCAGGTACTGCAGTAGTGACGAATGACGCATCCGGCGGTAAGGCGGCGCTGTGGACAGACAGTCGGTACTTCCTACAGGGGGAACAGGAGTTGGACTGTAACTGGATACTCATGAAACAAGGTGAGTAGTGAAATCTGCGTCACAATTAAGTTGACATTACAGGATTTATTTCAATAATAGCTTACGTTTCCTTTTTCTTTTTTTAAATGGAAAACACGTGTAACTTGCATATGCACACTTGCAAAATCCGATTGCACCAGTATTTCTTCTCATTTTATAGAATTTGAAATTTCACTGCTTAAGAATCTACAATTTCACTTCTCGATTAAATAGCAAAGTTCTTTATTCGCAACAATTGTTAGGAATAAAGAACCATTCATTAACCTGATAAAATATTGTTAACTACGTGATGTAACTATTATAAACACGAACAACAGTATCAATTTTAACTATTGTTTTTCCCCCAAGCCGAAGAAGACGTCCCCACTATAGAAGAGTGGCTGGTTAGTGAGCTGAACCCGGGAGGACGGGTGGGAGTGGACCCACAGCTGGTCTCTATCAGTGAGTACACACTTTATCTATTCCTTAGGCTGAAGATACAGCAAAGACAGTCCAACTAGCACAGTGCTATTATTATGAGGAGCCTTGACACTTATTACTAGTATACAAGGCAGGGGTTCGCCTGGCCTCCGCAAGGGGTGATCCTTATTGAATTACGAACTTTCACATAGTCACGGTGACATGGTATCATTTGAACCATTGCACAACGGATGATGGTAACGGTGATGACGATGATTGTTTATGATAAGGATGATGGTAAAGACGATGGTGATGATGATTATGACGATGATTATGATAGTGATGACCATGATTATGATGACGAAGATGATGGTATTGACAATAACTTTGGCGATGCTATTGAAGATTATTGTTATTATGACTATGGTGAAGATGATGTCGATGATTATGACGATGGTGATAACGATGAAGATGATTATGATGATTACGATGGTGATGATGACGATGATTACGACTATATTAATGATGATGACGATTTATACGATGATTATGATTATGGTGATAGTAAGGATGATGACGCTGATTATAGGGATGACGATAGTGATAATGATGACGATGATAATAATGATAATGATGATGATGACACTGATTATAATGATAATGAAAGCTATTCAAAATCTAATGATTCCTTCGACCCACATAGAGTTATGGGAAGCACTGGAGGAAACGTTAAGAGATGCAAGAATACGTCTGTTTGGCGTGCCGCAAAATCTGGTGGACGATCTTTGGGAGGATCGCCCGGGTCCATCACAAGCACCACTTATAACTCTTGGACTGGAGTACACAGGTTAGGGCGTGGCCGGGATCTGGTTGGATGTGATGCACTAACAGCGCCGCCTAACGACATCTACTTATATGACATACTAACAACTTGTCATGGAAGGGAATGAAGTGTTTTGAGGATATGGGACGTGAATCTTTTAAAAAAATGTGCATATCATTTTTCTTTCGAATAAATCAAACTTGATTCAAAATTTTACCTGAATTATAAGGCATAAAAGTTTGTTTAGTTTCTGTATTTTTGGTAAAGCCCATGTTCATAGCACGTCGTACATTCCTCACAACGCAGATAGCCCTTCTACCTGAGGTTTCTTCTTACAGATGTACCGCAACAAATAACAACAACTAGCGAGGCGCTTCTTCCAAACATACGAAGGCCCACAACGACACTTCCATACACCTATACGGCGGCCTTTCCACACCACGCTGCCGAGGACTATACCTTCCATACACCTCTTCCACAAGACATATCCCTTGGAAGCGCGGTGTGGAAGGGCAGCGAAAGAGGTATATATGGATGTGTCGTTGTGGGCCTTCGTACAAACAGGAATGCCATTCGCTAAAGCGTTTATGACAGTCTACAGCTAACATGTGCTCTACCCACTAACCCTCCACTAACCCGACTAACTCGCATGAACCCATAGGTACATGGAAGCAGTACGATGATGCTTTACAAGCAGACGGTATATCCTTAGTTGGCAGTAGTGGTGGAAACTTGATTGATGATATCTGGACTGACAGACCGCCACCTTCAACAGCGCCCCTTATCACTCTCGGTCTGAACTACACAGGTGTGTTTTCAAAACATGCTGGTTTACGATCACATTACAGGCGCAGTATGAAACGTTTTGTACCAAAAATTGAAATATCTTAATTGAAAAAAAGATAGTTATTCTTTTACGTTCTTTTTTTTAAACTTTGTGTTTTTTAATAATTTAATATTTTGAAATTTATGGTTGGCACTAAAAAAGCCCACACGTTGCACACTCATTTTGTGGCACCTCTAGAAACTACCAGAATGTAACAAACATGAATGAAAGCTGTGTTAAAAATTCAGCTTTCAAACACATTCGTGTACTATAACATTTTGGCACCTACACTTCCTGACTGACACATAGTCTTTGTCCAATCGCTAAAATGGATTGTTTTATTAAAATCTTGAATGTCTCGATCCCAGGGAAGTCCTGGGAAGACAAGCTCACAGACATACGGGGGAAAATGACCGAGACAGAGGCGGACGCACTGGTGCTGACTAAACTGGACGAAGTGGCCTGTAAGTGGATATACCTCTAATAATAACAATTTAATTATGGTTTATTTCTGTGTAGTTGGTTGCCTTGTGTGGTTGTCATTATTCTTTAAGGACCCTAAAGCGACTAATTTTGAACTGTAGAAGTCAATCAAAAGCTAAGTGCAATATCATTTTATTCTAGGGTTGGTTAACCTGCGAGGCAGTGATGTTCCGTTCAACCCTGTCTTCTTCGCGTACGCCATTGTCACTGCCGACACCGCCAAGTACGTGCCCATGTTTACATGTGTTTTTGGTGTGTATGTGTTTCACGGTATGTGTGTGTGCCCGTGTGTATGTCTGTGCTTCCGCATTGTCTTTCGGTCATTTTTTTTTAATTTCAACATTTATCACAAGACATGATGACGACACGCTCAAGTTTTTCCAACTTGAGCGTGCCGCCACCAACGCAGAGGACAAACGCATGAACGGAGAATAGACATATTCATTTTAACTTGGGTGAAGGGAGGCCTCGAGGAAAGTGGACGTTAAGTGCACGTGCCTTCCCTAAGGGCACAAAATCGGCGGCATGCCACACGACCCCACAAAGGTCAAATTGTAATGGATACTGTCCAGTCTGTCGCAGAGGGACAGTCATTATAAATCACGTCTATATCTGGTAGCGCTCGCTGTTATACAAATGTACTTAGTTATTGCTGTCGTACCGCAGGTTGTACCTGGACATGGGCAAAGTGACTGATGGCTTGAGAACTCACATGCAGCTAGGCTGTATCAGTATATCTGGCTGCGTGTCCGTGTTTCCGCATGGTTGTCAGGTCAAGTTACAACGGATATGTTTGGGCCCAGTCTGTACCAGAAGGACATTCATTTCGTGACTAATTAAGTTTACGGAAGGAAAACATTTTGCTTTTGCTCAGTTTCTTCCTCTTCTTCTTCTCCAAACAGTGACATATGACCTGACCAATGACATGATTTGTTGACGTCTGTCACCATGGTGACTTGGGTTACATAATTTGCAATTTTATGGTCTGCTCTGCTCCTGTCCCCATATACTAGTAGTGCATGTATGTGAATGTGTAAGAGTTAACAGAGCAGACCATGTCCGAAGGTAAACATCATGCATTTGCTTTGCAAATGTTACTTCTCTAGTTTTTTTATACATATTTCATGACTAATTCCGTACTGTAGGTTGTACCTGGACATGAGCAAAGTGACAGATGACGTGAGAAGTCACTTGCAGCTGGGCTGTACGACAGGTGCGTCATGTGTGCAGGTGGCGGCGTACGACACCCTCCTGACAGCCGTGGAGGCGCTGGCCGCCGACTCCAACATCAGGAAGATCTGGATCAGTTCAGCCTCTACCACGTATGCCGTCTTCAGTAAAGTACCGGAGGTGAGAGACGATAGCGTTATTAACTACAGCTCGAACATAACGTGTCGAATAGCAGCTTAGAAAATAACAAGAAATACGTTTTAACTTAATATCAGAGTTATCAACTAAGGGTTGAGGTGTTTGAAAATTTGTATTTCATTGTGGAACTCGCTGCTACCGAGTACAGTTGGGGCATATTTACTAGATACTTTAAACAATGTTTAGAATTAAATGTGTCGAGACATTATCATTTTAACATTATCTTTTTCGCCTGCAGTTGAATGTGCAAAGGTTGAGGGTAACAGGTGTTATATATAGCCAGCATAAGCAAGCACAAAATAGAACTAGTCCAATTAACTTTACTTTCTGTCCTCCTATATCATTAAAATGAAAAAACGCTTTACTGGATTTATCTATTCTAATTCACAGAGCAAACAGATCCTTGACGCGTCACCGGTGATGAAGATGAAGTCTAAGAAGAACCCAGTTGAACAGCAGGGACTGAAGAATGCTCACGTGAGTGTCAACGAACACTTCTGCTGTCTAAACATAACATTTCAGGTCTTCTCAAGTATGGTGATCTATGCCGCATATCCTTCTTATCATGGATAATCAAATCGCTATATAAGCAATGTTTGATGACAAGTACTAGTGATCTCTACATTTTGAAACTTATCTGCACAATCGCATTGCATTACATTTTGGTAGTCATTTTACTACTTTTCTAAGTGATGACTAGTTCTACTTCCCACTGCCGGGTAACGCTGCAGTAAAAGCTTGTATCCCCCCTCATTGCGGTTCATGACATGACTTATCCCTAACAATACTTACCCTTCATTTGGGTCAACATAAACGTGCAAGTTCTGGGGGATATTATTCAGCGATATACTTTCTTGAACCTAGGTCCGTGACGCCGTGGCCAAGTGTGAATACCTGATGTGGCTCGAGGAAGCGGTTAGTTGCAATCTTTTTCTCACTTTTCTTACTTTACACAATTCTAGCAATTGAGGGCAAGAACAAGTGTTTTACGTGATAACCAATAAGTAAAGAAGATAACCAATAAGTAATGGTAACCAACAAGTCAAAAGCAGGTAACCAATAAGTAAAAACCATTCTGACAAAAAAAATCTAATCTATGTGGGAAAGCAGAAATTCATACTTATTATTTACCATATGTCAACATCAGGTACCTGGTGGATCTGTGACGGAAATATCTGGAGCAGACTATCTCGAACAACTACGATCGTGAGTATGTCAAATGTAGAACATTATTACTATTATTATCATAATATTTAGAAATTTCTGAAATTCTGTTACAATTATTGTTTATAATGATCATGATGATCACATTATCTGTATATTGTTGACGATTTATTGCTTCTGGTTGGATGACGATACCGTAATTTTATTTACTAACATTGTAAGCCATGTACAGTACAAAAAACATTACCCGACTTTACTACCATTGGTAAATCCAACTTTTCGTGCAGAGAAATCTGCCGTAGGCTACATTCAATTGCTTAGTGAAACGATTTATGTCTGGTACAGACGACAGCGGGACTACATGGGCCTCAGCTTCCCCGCTATATCAGCCTCAGGGCCCAACGGAGCAGTCGTGCATTACAGGTGAGTTTGATTTACAAGTATACACTGTATATGCAACGGAAGAATATGCATGTACACAATACAGTGCCTGCAAGCAATGCACCAGAATATAGATACTTTCTGGGCATAGGAATAGGTATAGGTGAAGCTCCTGAAGGGCTTGGGCGGTTAGTATTTTCAGGTGAGTTTGATGTTTGAAGAATATGTGCAACGCAAGAAAATGCATGTCCACAAAACAGTGACTGCAATGCATAAAAAATACTTTCTGGACGTAGGAATATGTGCAAGCGGAATTTCAAGTTCTTTCGGGCGTTTTTTTTTTCATGAGAAGGTAAAAGGAAGTTAGTATGCTTTGTCAATTTTAGCTTCATTTACATTTTGTTGTGTTTCTACAGGCCAACTGAAGAGACAAACAGGGCAGTCAATACAGAAGATGTTTATCTAATTGATTCAGGTGGTCAATATAGGTAAGGAAACAACATTGTAAATTTACTGTCGTCCATTATTAGGTAGTTCAACCATTCACTCATTCATTCATCAATTGATAGATAGTTCTTTATCATTCACTCAGTGCTTTAACGTTGAAATCAGTTGCAATTGCAAGACATTCAGGCAAAAACTCCTGATTGATATGCTCAATGTGTATTGTAGATATTAAATATTGTACCAATGCCTACATCCGTCTAATCCATCTTTTCAAAAGTAGAATGGCATTGGAAGACGGTGAAACTGACTTGTCAAAGACTGTGCAGTAAATATAAACCTTACATTTTACTTAGCATTTTGCTCTAAATATCTCTGTTCAGGGACGGCACTACTGATGTAACCAGAACTTTGCACTTTGGGCAGCCGACTGACTATCAGCGAGTAGGACACCATGTTTCTTTCATTCCATAAACAAGATATTTCACCATATTTTGATTACCAACAAAGTACTCAAAACCAAGGTGCAAATTGTATGTTATGTGTAAGTAGAAGAAAGACAGTTTGGCAACAGTATTCTTTACTCATACGTACATAACATATTACAACAGTTATTAAACATTTTTTAAATATTAACTTAGACCATTGTTGATACGTTAACACCAGCTTTAACAAATATTTACTGCCTTTATTGCCTTGATTTTTGTTAGGAATGTTATACCCTGGTTCTTATGGGTGCCATCAACGAGTTCCTTCAAGTCTTCAAGCAAGGAACATTTGGTAAGACTTCCATTTACCTTGCAAGTAAAAATATATAAATACAATAACAGTTGTAGTTTGAAATATATGTGAAAAACTCATTTCTCCCTTTAGCTATTAAATAAATACTTGTAAAGACTATTGTAGAATAGACCTAGCTGCAACAAAGTGCAGTAGGGGCATCATCATTTAGATGAGTGACTACAGAGTTTACAGTTAGGTGACTGTTCAAAGGTTGGGCTTAACAGGTAGTTCACTGCAAGATCGCTCACTAGCTGCCATATGCCTGCGAAGCTGGTGTACATGTGTTACTCCGAAGTTCAGTTATACCGATACAGATGATACCTTTTTGCTCTCAACTTCGATTCCCCCTTACTGCAATGCCAGGAATCCGGCTGGACCAGGCCGCTCGGGCTCCCCTGTTTAGCCGCGGGCTGGAGTACGGTCACGGGACGGGGCACGGACTGGGGTCCTTTCTCAACGTGCACGAAGGTAAGCAAGTCTTTTTGTTCTAAATATTAAATTATTACAATATTCTAAATAGGAGATCAGGATCTTTGAAGGAAGACGTTTTAAGTTGTTATGATGGCATGAGCAACGTCACACGAGACGGCCCTGTTGTTGTCATGTGTGTCCATGAGATGACGATGATGATGTAAAAAAAATTTATGTCCCCAGGAAGGCCATATGCTCATTATCAAATATAAACCCTCTATACTGCTCATGAGATACTGACTCGTTAACTGCTAATGAAATACTAACTGCTGATAACATACTAACTCGCTACTAACTGCTGATGATAAAATGTACTAACTTGCTATAACTGCTGGTGACTTACTAACTAGCTAACTGGTGGTGACATACTAACAGTTTCTAACCGTTGATAACAAAATGCATTTTTGTACTAACCCGCCAACTGCTGATGACATAGTAACTCTAATTGCTGTTAACATACCATAACTTGCTGTCAATTCCATATATATATATATATATATATATATATATATATATATATATATATATATATATATATATATATATATTAATTATCGCTAACTGCTGATAACCTACTAACTTGCTGCTAACATATCGCTAACTGCTGATAACCTACTAACTTGCTGCTAACATATTGACTAACTGCCTTTCACATAGATCCTTACTTTGGCCGCAGCTCAGGTGTCCCGGTTGGAGAGACGGGAACGTTTATTACCATAGGTAAACATATGATAAGAACAGGGAATGTCTCCAGTACCCATGCATCATATGTCAAAAACATAAAGAAAATTATACTGTTCTCCAACACAAGGAACTTGGATCACCGGAATTTTTGAAAGAATTTCTCAGTTTTCACCAGTTATCCAGTGCTGTCATTTATCCGCACGTCAACGCTGGGTCAAAATTCGTCGGAAGTCGATAACGCCCCCCTCCCCGTCCCGGTTGATGGAAAGTTGGTGTGCCCTGGTGCTGATGGCCTCCTTCACTCCTCTCGCAAAAATGTCAAATGTCTGATAAAGACTGAGAAATCCGGTTAACAACTCCAGTGGCTCACATTTCTTGATTTAGAGAACAGACGAGTTCAATATCTATTAGTATGTAACTTACCAATTAACTCAGGTGAACATTGAATCTTATATGCAAGTTGATGCAAGGGTGCTGGATGATCCCAATGATCGAGATTTTGCACTAGGTTGTATTCCCTCTCTGTCTCTCTCCCTGTATCTATCACTTTAGATCCGTACTTTAGCGGTACCGAGGGTGTTCCTGTTGGGGAAGAGGGAACATTCATCACGATTGGTAAAGTTCTCTCATACATTTCTCTTTATATCTGACTCACTCATTTCTATGCTCCCTTACTGTGTTTTAATTGCATGTAAACAATCCATTTATATTACAGAAAAAAATATCTAACGATTGTTATCGCATAAAAAAGTGTTTTATTTCTAAGTATAGCTATAAACAATGTTTGGAGTCTGATGTTCAAAGGTTAGGTGTAACAAGTCGTTCGGTGTAATGTAGCCAGCTGCTGCCGCGTACCTGCGAGTTAAAGGTAGAGTGTTACGCCGAAGGGTGGTTATACCAGCTATACAGATATTTGTATACCTATTCAGCTTGCTTTTGTTGAATAACTGGTTCCCGTGTATAGATCTTTGTACTGCTTTTTAAAAATACATTTGTCTAACGTTAAATCTCTTTTAAACGATTCCCCTCACACAGAGCCGGGTTATTATGAAGACGGACAGTTCGGCATTCGTTTGGAGACCCTGGCTATGGTGAGAGAAGCAGACACAAAGGTAATTTACTTAAAGATGTAGTCTCTTCCTGAATCAATACAACGAAATCAACATCAGTTAACTTATAGATAAAGTACTTTCTCTTTGGACATAATTCATATCATTGATACTTGTACGATTGTCGAGCAATTAAGTCCATTCATGCTGTTAAGTAAGTGGTTGTGAAGGAAGAACTTTGCTATTCTACGTTGGTCTCAAACCTTTTAAAAAATGTTTCACGAGTAATGCATAATGCCCCACCCCGGTTTACTGTTTATCACATTTTAAATAGGAATAATTATAAGTACTATAAGTAATAGTCAAGATTACTTTAACTAATAATGAATTCAATAATACCTTTTCAGTACAACTTCGGCGGTAGAACCTACCTGACCTTTGAACCAATTACACTGGTGCCGTTTTCAGAGAAAATGATCAAATTTGACATGCTGAACATGGATCAGGTAATACGACTTTGTATATTATATCTAAAACTCTATGTGTAACAGTAATTCTGCTTCTATGTTTTATTTATTTGGTTGTCGTTTATTAAAGGCATTTATAATGATTTGATTTCAATCCGTCACATTCATGTTCATGAAAAATATGTTTTCTTTTTATTGTTTTTGTCTTCTATGGATTGCTGGTTATGGTTGATTATTAAGATCTTAATTGTGTTAAATATTATCCGGTAGGTATTAGATTCAATGGCAGAAGACCAACATAATCTATAACTGGTCTTCTTCCATTGACTTTATAACCACGAAATAATCTTTTAACTTAATATTTTAATTTGATTTTCTTTACATTATGTACTTACCCTTTATGCGTATGGATAAATAGATAGAATACACAGTAGTGGATATTTGAAGGATATGTAAATTTATACTTTGGTTATATCTCCTACTTATAACTTCTGATGCTTATTTTTCAAACATTTTGTTTCCTAGCTAACATGGCTGAACGACTACCACAAAAAGGTGCGAGAGACGATTGGACCTGAGCTTCAGCGTCAGGGAAAGAACGACGTCTATGATTGGTTAATGAAAAACACACAGCCATTCGAAACGAGCAGGATAACTAGTTCAGGAGCTAAAGCCGTCTCTTATGTTTTCATCATTGCGTTTGCTGTTGTGTGTAGTATTTTTAGTACGTAGATATATTGTTGGTTGTATAAAGCCCTTGTCACACATTAGGAACCTACTTTTCAGCCAAACATGGTCGTAGCCTACCTGGCCGAACACCAGCCAACCAATCCGCTTTTAATTGCTCCGGACCTACATTGTACTCCTAACTACCAGGTATGGTTGAGGGGAGTTCGGTAGTGTTCGGGAGGCCATATAAGGCTATGTGTGACAATGGCTTTAGACAACATTACTGAAGTCTAGTTTTCTATGCACGAATTTACCGGTGGATATTCATACATGTACTCAATCATAAAGGGCTACGCTAGTGAAGATTTAGTTCAAAGGGACATTGCACCAGGTTTGCACAGCATTCTTATCTTATACTACATACGTCTTTAATAGGTAGATTAGTCCAATATGTTTGTTGTTACATAGCATTTTAGTAGATGACATACGTTGCACATTGTTCAATTGTTGTGCAATAAGAAATCTGAATACGAAATATGCAAATTAGATAGAGCCGTTTTACACTTGAATCATTGTTGTAGTTGTTAATAATCCCTTCTTGAACAGCCTACCTTATTCTACCCGTGTGTTTCAGGAGTTTACGAATTAAAAAAATGATTTCAAGTATATCATTTTTAATTCCTACAGTTTGCTTCAATTAAGAAAACAACAACCTGGACTTCCTTGCATGAGAAAATATGCTTATTGTCGTTAAGTTGTAAAAACATGACAAGTAAAATCGTCGACTGAAAATTTTAAAAGGAATGAGCAAAATAATTAAAGCCTTTTAAAAAGTTCTTAAAATTACACTGGCAATAATTTCTGGTTCGCACCACGTTTTTGTTAAGTTATTGTGTATCCACTGAAATCTGAAGACTAATAAATGTTCATCGTATGTTAAAACACACAAACCAAAAAAATAATAATTTAAAATCAAACTCAAGTCCGAATGAATCCTTGATGGACGACACAGGAAGGTTATAATTCCGATCGTTCACGACAAAGGGCTACAGTAAATTTAACATCGAGAAATGAATTATGCACCTTAGTCTCAAAGCATAGTGATAAGGGAACAACGTTTTCCACACCATGTTTTCAATGGGACAATTTTGAACACACCTTTAGAACTATAAAAAACGTACATACTGATCATGAATTCCAGTAAATGAAATGTTCAAAACACAGGAGTGATGAAGGAGAAATTTTACACGTTTTCTTACTCCGGAGTATATATTCTGGAATGTGACTTGAGTGAGCTCCCAATAATTTTCCCCAATTCAAGCGAATACATATAATCTACACATTACTATTGTCATTTCTGATCCACATATATGTTTGAGCTATTTTCTACATATTCTACATGACAGCCCCTCCCATATTTCATATCCACATGCTTTAAGGTTAGCCTGGGTGTCATCCTAATTGTATGCCTTTAAACGAATATAGTAACCGCCGCCATACAAATAGGATGGCACCCAGGCTACTTTAAGGACACTACAAGGTAGGAACTTAAAAACTACCCGTTGAACAATAACCTGGGGTATTTTGCTAATTTCTTGGCGTTTTTGCTTGAGAAATTGCTCGTAATTGCCTTTAAGCAACATTAGTAACATCAAATTTTTGCCTCACAGATGCTATGAAATGGTATATGATATAAGGGTTGATTCAACTTCTTACATTCACAAAAAAATTACCAGAAAATTGACTTTGAAATTCAGCCCTGAAATTGCAAGTTGGATACCATTAAAGTCACTTCCAAACTGGCATCTGGAGTGAGTTACAACGACCTTATAGCCTTCAACCTGCCACAGAGCATTACTTCAACAGTGTCTGGCTTAGCCTCTGGAATCTTGACAAATTCTTTTGGGCCACAGCAAGTAAATTTTATGGATGACATATGCATCCTCCACAGACTCAAAACCTAATGCGAGCAGGTGAAAACAAAACAAGGCAGGCCGAATAAAACAAGGTTCCTACATGTTTAAATTTTGACTCAATCATTGAACAAATGGTTTTTATTCAGTGGGAACATCACATATGTACAGTCTGCATCACATATCACTGCATCAAGGCAAGAAATAAAACAATAAATCAGAGCCTTTTCTTGTCTCCTCTCTTCATATCTATCTGGCCATCCACCTTCCAGCATGGCAACAGACATATTTGCCCGTTTTCGGCATGTTGACCACTTTCAGAAGGCAACAAATTTCTTGTTTCTTCCAAAATCAGGCAAAAATTAATGTGCGCCCTGATGTCATCCATAAAAATGACTTGCTGTGGCCTTACAAGGTCATGTGGGGACATGGCTCTGGTATCAGAGAAGTGTGATAGTTCCTGAGGGATGTCACACTTTGACGACAGAATAGTCTGGTCCTGTCTACAGTACAAGTTGTATGTTGGGGAGAGAAAAGAAGCATGTATGGAATGTACAAGTGTGATGGTGTAGCTTAACCTTTAGCACACCGATGTAGCCATTTGGCCTCCAATTTTGGGTACAGAGTAATGCAGCAAAGAGAAAGTTAAAGTAAAACATAGGCTTAAAGTTGTAGCTTAACCTTTAGCACACCAATGTAGCCATTTGACCTCCAATTTTCTATTGGGTACAGAGTAATGCAGCAGAGAGAAGGTTAAAGTAAAACATTAGCTTAGGTTAAACAATGAGATAGGTGATATGTAACAAAGTTATCAGGCCTAGGAAAAAAAATGTTGTTTCCTGTTTTCTGACTGACCCTAGAAAAACTAGACTTTTTTTTGGGGGGGGGGGGGGTACTCCTGCAAGGGACATACATTTATCGAACTGATCAACCATATGGGTTTTCTAGCTCCCTGATCTGAGACCTGAGTAATGAATTGTACAATAGTTTTCCAACATTGACATTGAAACTTTAAGTGTCCTCATGCAAGTTTTACTTTATCAAACTGTGTTGTATACGTCGGATCCCTATACATGTAGATTGCCAAAGTCTAATAAAGAAAAAAGAAAGATAATCCCTACTTACCGACCCTGATTTTTTCAGTAGTAAAACAGGAAACACAACATTTTTTTCCTTGGCCTCAGTATGTGCTATTTTTAAAACCACTTGTTTAACAAGAGCCAACGTTTTGATGACCTTCATTTCATTTAGGCAATTATGACTGGGTTTACAGTAACTGTTTAAATTTGCTCTCATTTCCCTTATGAAGATGACAGTCACTTAAATGTCAGCTCTTGTTAAACAAGTGGTTGTGAATCAATTTTGCTATTCAAACATTCACCAACCTGATCGAATTATTCATGGATGTATCTGATTCCGTAATTTTGCTCCATGTATGCATATTGGTGGGGATTATTTGCATATTTTACTGAACTTGTATACCAATAGATTCTAACAGTTATGCAAGAAATCACAACTATCAAATAACAAGTAGCGATGCACCCTGATGTATTCTGGTCATACACATGTATTGTGTTTGATAATATTTTCCAATTTTTTTCATTTACACAGAATATTTTCCTGCATGTGTTCATGTGGTTGAATAGTAATATCTAATACATCATATGTTGATAAAACACACACACACACACACACACACACACACATACATACATACACACACACACACACACACAGGACAAACTTACATAATTTGCCATAGAACTGAACTATAGTCCATCTGCACTTGATTTACATAAGGCATACATGTATATCCACATCCACTCCTGAGTAATATTATACATTATACAACCAAGATTAATCTTCATACATACTGCAGTACAACATAGTTAATTACTTGTAACACACAGGGCTCGAAACACCACCTGCATATACAGGTTAGTGCAGGTAAAATTGGAGCTGTGCAGGTATTTCTGATATCTACCAGCATCTAACCTGCACTGGTTATGTAGTATGGGGACATACATTGTAAAATGTATGATTGGCAGTGGTCAAAAAATACTTTGCATTCTTCAAATAGCACCATTGAATATTTAACAAACTTGGTAAATTAAAAATGGTGCTACTAGAAACATTTTTTTAAACATTTCAGTTTTTTTGCGTAAAGAAATTGTATTAAAGGTAAAATTTGTCTGGTAAAGGAAATTCTGAATGTTGTCTGCACCAAAGTAGGTTTGCAGAAAAAAGTATTTCGAGCCCTGACATAGAATGTACCAAATAAACGTAGTGTTCACCTTGAAATCTAACAAGCTATGAAACATCTTTATGAAAATTCAAAGCATCTACAAACCTGAGATATGTAATTGCTAAACTGAAATGCAAAACCTACTAAAACCAACAGTTTTCCCAGTACACATTATATAACTACACATGTAATGTAGTTTCTAGAATTACTTAAAGCCTTGGTCACAACCCGCCATACATGCTTTTTGTCCGTACGTTTTTTGGCAGGCTACGTCTGCTACGCTTTTTTCTGAAAACGTGGGGATGGAATGGCGTTGACACACGTCACTCGCACGTCACTCACACTTTACCGTACTTACACGTGCTTCTTACATACAGTGCTTACAGGGCACGCGCGTTGCCCGTACTCGCACGCACGGGTGGTGAATCCGCAGACCGCACGCAGAAAAAGTTTTACATGCACTTAAAGTTCTACGGCGTGTCTGCATGCTCCAAAATCCGTAGGATTCCGTACGAAGGCGGTACTCACCACGCACGGATGCCCTACGTTTGCCCAAATTTTTGCAAGTAGACAGCACGCAAAAGCACGTACGGCGGGTTGTGACCAAGGCTTAAGGCAGTTTCAAACATAACGTTCAATAAACAAGTTCTACATGTAACACTATTTATCTTTGGATAGTTTCTCTGCCTTTGCCTTGAGATCTCTTTCCCACATCTTGGCCTTGTCACAGAAGCCGATTCTGCCCTTGTTGAAGGAGTTGGGGCCTGCTGACGTGGGTGTATCTCTGCGGAAGAAGAAGAAAGTTATTGTAACATAAGGCAACAGCCTGGATTTGAACTCCTAACCTCCTGGTTAAAGCAGGGTTGTTAACCACTACGTGTACACTGCACATGCTACATTGCTAGACAGTGCGCATTACAACATTCCTTTATATATGTATTTACAAAGAAAAGTATGGAATGACTACAGAAGACAAGTATCCCTAGTAAGCTATTCTATTGTCTTTCACACAAAGAACTCATACTAGTAATCAATAGTACAATAACGGTGGTGGTAAAAGTAAGTTGCTTAAGGGTGTCACCTTCCGATATTTTTCATTCTCATCTTTGCTTCTGGTGGCATCTCTTCTGGTTCATCATCCTGAAAGGATAAAAATGCGCAGTTGAGTAACTTAAAGTTCTCATGCTTTTGGTCAGTCCATGGTGATTCTCTATTATACATAATACGGTTAAACTGGTACACAGCAACACTTTTTCTCCATACTTAAAACATCATTTCTTGAGTACATCACAATTTCCTGTATACTTACATGATTATTTGCAGCGTATTAACATCATCACTTTCTATGTACTTACATCAAAACTTTCTGTGTATTTACATCATTTTGTACTTACCTCATCAATTTCTGTGTATTAACATCATCACTTTATGTGTACTTACGTCATCACTTTCTGTGTACTTACATCATCACTTTCTGCAAACACAGCTGCAACTTTCTTGGCAGGTTGTGCAGCAGGTGAACTAGAAGGTTTGGGTTTCTAGAAAAGAAGAGAGGAAAATTGAAAAAACAACAACCTTGAACTCAAACTTAAACTCTGACCCAAAATCAGTTAAAGGAATATCCTATTTTGCTGCCTCGAACAGAAGCCAGAAATCAAGTGCTCCCTTTTTTATCCAAAAACTCTAAAATACTTTATAGTGTAAAGTTTACACTTTCAAATCTTCTGTATAGCCAGTTGAACAGCCCTTCGGTGTAACACACTAGCTTCGCAGGCATGCGGCATGGCGGCAGCTGGCGTACATTACACCGAACGACTTGTTACACCTAAACCTTGAACATTTAACTCTAAACATTGTTTGAAGCTATCTAATGACAATGCGCCTACTGTACTTGGTGACAGTGAGTTCCACTCTGTGATAGTTCTAGGAAAGAATGAGTTTTTGTACACCTATATTCTTAGTTGATGACTGGCACTTGAAAGCATGACTATTTTTTCCCTTTCTAGGCTGGTATTAGTTACTTAGCACTAGTTGGTACGTCTAACCAAAAATCTTGCACTTGTCCCCTTAAATTTAAAAAAAACTTCAAAACAAGTGGGCCAAGATAACCATCCAAGAGTTCCCATCCCTGTACTACTAAAAGATTTACTTATTGAGCTCTTGGGGGCTAACCTGTAAAAGTAATTGGCAACATCAGAGATTTGCGACACACACCAAGCTGAAAATACGCACTCAAGTTTTAATCATGTCCAACTTAGGGGACCAGAGTAAAGCAGGAACATATGTTGTGGCTGGCCACATGTGACATGTTCTGTCTGTCAGGTATCATGTGGAAGTGAAGACAGCTCTACTAGTGTACCTCCTGTGGTTTACTAGCAAATTAGAAACATCAGTACAGAATGTTTGTCTGTATATGCAGGGGTCTCCCCAAGCAATGGTGCAACGGCGGTGCGCCACTCCCAAAATTTCTAGCGCCACTCCCAAAATTTTCAAATTAAGGGTCTTCTCTTTGTATTTTCGCGGATAAATAGGCAAAAAACATCGAAATCTTGACGCGAGTGGCGTCCATTTTCCCCGTCGGCATTGTTTCTGAAACTTGTGAATGGGCGATAAACGAGTAAACAATAACCATTTCACACGACGCTACCGAGAGAATAGCTGTCATTGGTGGAACATCGGGTGCCCCGCTAGCGTTTTTAAGTCATGTAAACAACGCTAATTGTCTGATTGGTTTGTAAAACAAAGCCCTCGACCCCGAAAATAAGGCCCGATTTAGACTAGAAACGGTATACCGTTTCGAAACGGTACGAAACGTTTCGCCACAGAAAACGGTTCGTCTTTAGACACAGAGGCGGAAGCGTTTCGGGCCGCCCGTGGCGCAGGATATTTCTGACCCACAGTGACCTATGATGACCTTTGGTCATCCTCCCCGAGCCGCTTACGGTTTGCCTCATTGGCATTACGTTACTTGTGTTTCAGGGCCTTGAACTTCGCCCGAACCTGCTTTGGGGTGCGTAAATACCCCTCAGCCGCCAGTATGCCCTTAGCATCTGTATGCCCTCCCTATTACGCGAGGTCTCCAAGCGGGATTGTATAGTTTGATCGGCCCACAAGCTGATCAAGCAGCGGGTCTTTTCTTGGGTCCAGACCCTCCCCTGGCCTTATGCTATCCCTCCAGACGTAAAGGATGACGAAAATTTGAGAAATACACGATATAAAATGGCGAAAATGGACACAATCGAATATGGCGCGAATCTACCAGAAAATGGACGCGCGCTGGCTTATTAGCATGTGATTAGCATATGACACGTGACCTGGTTTACCGTTTCAAGAAACCCTTTGTCTTTAGACCTAGCAAAAAGCGTTTCGGGCCCCCCGCTGAAGGGTTCTGAAACGGTCGAAAACCACGATGGAGGTGGTTTTCGGAAACGGTCCGCGAAAACCCATAACAAACCGTTTTTTCCTCTTTAGACCGGGAACGGTTAACCGTTCCGAAACGTTTCCCTGGCCAAAACCCCTTAAGCGTTTCTAGTCTAAATCGGGCCTAAGTTTATAAAGCCGATGCGTTTACGAACTAGCCGTGGAAAATTCCCTACCCTACCGCACCATGAGCATGTGGCGGCCGCAAAATTCGGTTAACGCAACAGATAAATGTCTGGGCCAGTATAGCGGCATTTCCCATGAAAATAATGTATGTTGTTTATTTTTCGCCTGCTGTCGGTTTTTAAGTTCCAAAATGTCTGAAAAAGCAGAAATTTGCTCACAAAACCGGACGGGGGAAGGCGAGTCGCTATCGGCGTGAAGCACATGGCGAGGCCTTTTAAAAATCGGTAACGCGGAAGAAAAATGCGTGGTCCATTTTAGCGATATTTACCATGAAAATAACGTGTGTGGTTTATTTTCCCTCTGATGTTAGTTTTTAGGTCCCGAAACCCCTAAAAAAGTAGAAATTTTCCCATAAAACGCACGGCCGAGGGGTGGGAGGGCGGCCGGCACAGAGCTGCATGACCCGTAAAAAGTCAAAGGTCATAGTGCACGCATATTACGCAATCACCCTAAAGCGCCGATTTAGCTAATTTTAGGGCGATTAAAATTGATAAAATCACATTATTGATTTTTAGGAAAACAATGGGATGGAAACTAATCAAAACTTTGTGCTGAATTTTTTTTTCTTCATTAAGTTTTTTTTCTTCAGTAATTTTTTTTCTTCAGAATTTTTTTTCTTCAGAAGTTTTTTCTTCAGAAGTTTTTTTTTTTCAGAAGTTTTTTTTTCTTCAGAAGTTTTTTTTCTTCAGAAGTTTTTTCTCCAGAAGTTTTTTTTCTTCAGAAGTTTTTTTCTTCAGAAGTTTTTTTCTTCAGTTTTTTTTTCTTCAGAAGTTTTTTTTCTTCAGAAGTTTTTTTTCTTCAGAAGTTGTTTTTTTCAGAAGTTTTTTTTCTTCAGAATCCAGACTTTGACCAGACTAGACAATGTACCATACCAACTAATTATTATGTTGAAATGGATGTGTATATTTTGTTGTACAAATACTCATTAATGCCCTACATTTGTACTTAATTTGGCTTGATTTTCTATCTCTTTAGTTAGTAAGATTTTTAACTCAAGTTGCAGGAGAAGGCTACAAACTGCATCTCAGAAGGGTAAAATGCAACAGCTTCTCCTACGGAGAGGGGGGGGAATCCCCCCCCCTCTCCGGACCTCTACCCCCCTCACAGCCGCGCTTCGCGCAGCGTCGGGCACTACGTGCCCTCCAAAAAAAATTCCAGCACCACTCCCCTAAATATTCCTGGGGAGACCCCTGATATGTGTAGCAAGACATTTTGTACATTTTACCACTGTGCTTGTATTTGGGCACAGAAGGTTAAAGAAAGTCCTTTTCTTCCTACTCGTTACAATTTTTTCATCTATCAATGCAGTGGTTACGTACAAAAATTTTTTTTGAATTATGAACCAGTCTTTTATGTTGACTTTACAACCGTTATGATAATCAAAGGATTAATTGGGGCTATCATAGGATGCCTGTTTTTGATTACAGGTGTTTTTTTTTTTACTCTGTTGCTTAATTTTTTTCTGAAGAAATCTGAAAATCAACAAATTAAATTGGGGTGGCCTTCCCACTCAAGTCATTTCATGATACTGAGGAGAATAAGTAGCTTGAAATCCAGGCTGGTTCACTCCCAAAAATTTAGGGAGTACAGAATTTTTGGTAGCAGATCCAGGGCATGAAATACTGTGCACTTTAGTGCACCCAAATTTTGGAGCTGTGCACCCAATTTTTTTGTAAATTTACATTGTAGGTTTACATTTATAAAGATGGTTAATGTATTAGTAGTATACAGCATACTGCATAACATGTAGGCATCAGAAAAATAAAAGAATCATTGCTATAGTACTTTTCTTTAGAAATTAAATAATTAATTAGTTTAATTGACATTCTCTACTTATTCTGTTGTAAATGACACACCCAAAAGTTTTTTTGTGCAACCATTCTCCAAAATGAATTTCAAACCCTGCTATTATAAACAAGGCTGGATTTCAGGCTAAAAAACTTGCCCAGAGTTCACACAAAGTTCATGCCCAGCGTGGCCTGATTTCCCTGCACTGTAAAGCTTACCCTGGGCATATCTGCACAGTTTAGCGTGGCATTTATCAGACAGCTACCAGAACAGATGTAATACTTCAAAGTACTGAGGCAGGGCGACCCCCCTGGGAACTTTTCACTATCAGGTTACAGTGGCACCAGGGTGCAAGCATTAATCACACTAAAATATATCACAACAGACACAGGTCTGCCATTGGGCTCCTGTAGAGTTTGAGAAACTCAGAACTAAAGCTGTTGAATGGGGTCTGTATGGGGGGATCACTAAGCAACACTTATGGGTAGATTTAGGAGGAAGGTCGATACAGCCTGACCATATTTGTGTAAGGCTTTGGAAGCGACCTGAAGTTCTTTCACCCTGGCTCGAATTTAAAGGTGGTTCAATGGCCACTGACCACTGAAATTTAGACTGGGACAACTAAAAGACACTTTGGGACATTTTTGGGACAATAGAAAAATAATCAACATTAGAATGTCAGCCCTTCTTTTGTTTATCAGGCACACAGCTTTAGATCTGGAAAAATCCCCCCCCCCTCCGATTTCCTGTCCTCTCAACAAAAAAAAACTTAAGCATGTACGCAACGCGTCATATCACACACATGACTGCTGCAGTACTATACAAAGCTACTAGAATACCCATAATTGACCTTGACCTTTGTTGTCCCAATGCCAATTCACCTACCTTCCAAATATCATGAAGATACAGCAACCACATGACTAGTAGTACTTACCATTTAAAAAATTGCCAACCTCAATACACATGTATATGGTGTAATCTAACACATAACCTTCTATACGAAGGTAAATAATGCTGTAAATCTACAGAGACATCCCTGGCATACCAGTGCATGGTTAGAACCAGAGGGGAAACATCTAACTCCCAAGAATAACAGAGTGGCTGTTTCCAATAATAACATCCCAGTGTCTGCTGGCTGGGATTTCTTCTAGTCTTTCATCCAGGCCAGGACCCTAGAATTCAGACCATGGCTATAGACAGTGTATCAAAGTGACACCATGCATTTAACTGTGCACACTGATGCAGCTATTAAACATCTGGACTTAGAACAGCTCTATTTACTTGTACTTTGTTCCAATGCATGAACTGATGAAACAAGAAAACACTCTGTGTAACTTATATGTTGTACAGTAATCTTGCAACTACTTACTTTAGTATTATTTCACTTTTTACAGAATGTAAACATCAAAATTAGTCTATATATGGCCCATATTATTTTATCATTGGGATATGGGATAAGTAAGTACATGTATATGTGCAGTATGTATATAACTTTTATGATGCTCTAGTTTTTGTTACCCTCCATGAAAATGGGGGTACTGTTTTTACTCCGTTTCATGTTTGGTCTGATATCTGAAGATCGGTGAGAAGGAACTGTACGATATTTGGCAGATTGATGGATGGGGCCTTGGAGATTGTGTAGGTTGACTTTGAGCCCCTGGTGATTGACCTTGGTACTGCAGTTTAATTTTTTTATTCTGTTGTTTTCGCGTTATGGACTGTTTGTGCGATATTAAGGTAGCATGTAGTTGTTATTACATGGTTTAGTGGTTTAAATTTGGGTCCCCTAGCTGTTTGCGTTTGATATTTACAAAATGTTTAATGTTGGACTTTTTGTGTTGAATGTTTGGAAAATCTGGGGGATGGTTTGGTATGATTTTTGGTATGTGGGTAGTTGTTGAGTCTCTTTGTGTTTTGGAGTGCATTAGCAGGTTGTCGCATATTTTTATTGCTTAATTTAAAAGGATTTTCACTTTTTCACCCCTACTTCATAATAGGATGGTCTGTTTGACCCAAAAGTTGGGACAGGGTGTTTTTGTTTATACCTCCAGCTGGCAGGTCAGACCCAGGCAGCCCTATCTATTTTTACCCCTAGACAGATCTGCAGGAAAATAAATCTTGTTTGTCTGGTCTGCAGGTCATTTGTCTGGTCATTGACCTACATGTACAGGCAAATGTAGCCTGGGTACCATCCCCAGTAGTATATTCGCAAACTCTATAACAGTTATAGAGTTTGCGAATATACTACTGGGGATGGTACCCAGGCTAAGGCAAATGACCTGCTGGCCATCAAAGTAAACAAACCATGGTAACAAGACACTAAACGCCTGCACATGACAGCTTGACAAATACAAAGTGCCACCACAAATCATTCTGCTGATAAAAACAAAGTTTAACTCATAATATCTCTATTGAAATACACCAAAAGATTACAAAATAACAAGCTATTTCATGGAGGGATGATGTCTACGACTTCTCCTTGTTTTGAATTAAAATAAAAGACACCAAAAATAGCTTTAACATTTGCAAAAATCTTGGGCTTGTTAGAACATTTGAATTTAGAAAATTTTAGCAAATACATTTATTTACTTGCACATTCCACATTAGCAAAAGGAAACATTTCTAAACTTAAAGGTATCAAATACACCAGTACCAGTAGGTTTCCAATGTAGCACACACATGTATCACTTTCTGTACCAATCAACACATGTTGGCAGGACTTAATTTAAGGTCTCACTTCAGAGAGACGACCTTGCGCTCTCAATTGATTTGAAAATACCGGCGGTGGTACCTTAATTTTAAGGGTGATGTCTACAGAGGAGGATTTGGCAAGACGTACTGTAGGGTTGGGTGCACCTGGCATGACTTTTTGAGTTGATTTCAATTTCATTAACCTGAGGTTATACCTGTGGTTATTGTTGGCAGTGCTTAATGGCTAGGGCTGGTACAGCTAAAGCAGTGGTAGATCTTGTAATAGTTATGTGTCGTGTGCCTGTACTAAGGGCATTTCGATGGATATAACTGTGGGAGGTGGTGTAATAGGTTCTGATATGCCAAGTTTAAGAAGCCAGTCACTATATACTGTCTATATAAACTGACAATGTTGAATGAAATAAAAAGGTACAGCAAACATACATGTAGCTCCCATAGCCTTTTTTTATAGGCTATAGAGGCAGTGGGTTGTTAATCCACAGTGTCAATATTATAGCATGGTATTGGAAAGCAAAGCCCATCCGCCTTATATACTGTTTCTCCCCAGCCAAAGTCACCAAAAATTGTCCTTCTGTACCTGTCCATTATGCTGTGAAAAATTCTGTAGAGAACCCTTGTAGAGAATACACAATCGAATTTCTAAAGAATCTGTCAGGAACATACAGGTATGATCATTTACTAGTAACGTCACACTGCCTGGGTGCCAGGTACGTACAGCTGGTAATAAGCCCCACATTAAGTGGATGTAAAAGCCACTATGAAAAGGTGAAATGTTGTTACTCAGGCTAGCTGTGAATAAATTCCCCATATTTTATCGTCTTAAAGTCACGCATGGCAATTTCAGAACAGTTAAATTGAATTTTTGACCTCAATTTTTCTGTCATACAGCTATTTCATTAACTTGAATCAATCCTATCCCATAGCAATATACTGATATCTGTGAGGCAAAAATGTGATGTCACTGGCAGAAAACGGTTGCTTGCTTCATATCGTTAGTAGGTTGGTTCTAAGTTCTAGTTATTTTTTTGTGGTACCAAAAAATATAAGGACTCCTCAAGTAAGTTGTATTTAGGCTATTTCAAATGCTCAAAAGGTAGGAGATGATGAAAAAATGTGGTAAGAAATGACAGTTATAAATGACAGTAAAGTATCAGTCATATTTCCTCATCAAGATTTTTTTGGGGGGTTTTGGTTTGGTTGTCCTTTTAAAGCCCACAATCATGATAATGATCATTCTGGCATACTCCTGAGCGAAGTGAGGAAAGTCGTGTTTCCCAAGGGCGGTGTCATGGCAGGATTCGAACCAGGGAACTTTTGGTTCTGAGCCTCTGCCATTATGCCACCCAGATAAATGCTATTTTGCCACCCTTAAATTGCACCTAATGCCTTTAATCATTCTCTGCCAGACAAGGGTCAGTTTCTAAGTAACCTGTGGCCTGGAAAATGGAAGTCTCAAAAACTTTCCCCTTATCCCCCCAGGCGCCAACAGACCACTTACATGTGTTCCCAGCTTTTTTCTGTCAAGATACCTTACAACAACAATATCAAACCACCAGGGGGCCAAAAGGCTAACCATTCGAGGTCTCATCTAGACCTATCCACCAAGTGACCTACCAAAATTAAGACAATCCATTCTTGAGTTATCGTGTTTACAGATGGACATACACATATACGAAAACATAACCTTCTTCGCGAAGGTATTAGTAACATATAACATTCAATCCAGCTGTAAGACATCAAATAAAGCACTTACGTTTGCGCCTAATTTGATAGAAATCGGGGCAACCGTCTTGGTCGATACGAAGCCGGCCCCGGGAGAGTTCTTGGCAGGTGCCGGTGCGACTGGGTTTCCTCCGCCGAGCCTGATGCTAATCCCTCCCGACGGTTTCTGTGCTTTGGCCGGTGCCACTCTCTCGGGGTTGTCGTCGCCGTCAGCTTTTCTCTTGGTCGGAGACGACGTCGTCTTCTTCCACCGCTTATCTGCCGGTCGAAATACACTGACATAGTTGAGCCGAGGTGGCCGTATGAAGGGAGGGGGGCGCACTCATGCAATACCTCACATATGATTATGCCGCCTAAACACCATCGCAAAATCTGCAATAATTTCGTTACTCTACATTACGAAGATGGCAGAGGATATTCTTCTAATGAATAGAGGCGCTCTGTGAATGCTACCAGTCTTGATTTGGAGGTGACAGTCGTAAAAGGGATCGTGTAAAGTCGGGAAACAACCTTCTAGAGTCGGAGCACGATCTTCCTGGTTGTTGTCAGCCATGTTACCGGAGTAAGCTAATGCCGCTATGCGTGTCGGGAGAATGGGCGTGAACAATCTCGAAAAAGGGCGGGAAATATGTTTTTGGGCAGCGTTCGTGTGTGTGTGTGTGTGTGTGTTTGTGTCTGTGTGTGTGTGTGTGTGTGTGTGTGTGTGTGTGTGTGTGTGTGTGTGTGTGTGTGTGTGTGTGTGTGTGTGTGTGTGTGTGTGTGTGTGTTTGTGTGTGTGTGTGTGTGTCCGTCCGTCCATCCGTGTGTATGTCTGATTCTGATAAATTGAGAGAGCTTGGATGGGTTGTCTCGATAGGTGACCGGGCGGTTTGTTTTGCTACTGCAGCCATTAATACAAATTGTAGGATAGCTCTTGTGCTGGGAAGGAAATAACGATTTTTTTTTCAAATCTGGAACTCAGGATTCTACTCCCAACATCTGTTTTGGGATTTAATAGTTGCGTTCAAGAGATCACTCAAAATAACTGATTAAAACAAGTAAATACACACGATATGCATATTTATTATTATTTTTTATTCAGGAAATGAGATGAGACATTACTTGCTTCACGTAGCCGTTCTGGCGTACCAAATCTTCAAATAAGTTTATAAACCTATAGTGTTTTTAAAATACCACCTGTATATAAAGCTAAGTGCAGGTAAAATAAAGCTAGTGCTGTTCAGGTATTTCTGATATGTCTACCTGCACCTAACCTGCACTGCGCCCAAATATACATGTGGATTTTTATTTGTGAATCAACTGCATCTTGCCATCTACATTTTAATGAAGTGTAAAAGAAGTACATTTTTTTAGGATGATTCATAAAACATGTGCATCTAAATTCTGACTGGTGCAAGTAGTAAAATGTATCTGGTGCAGGTGATTTTCAGTGTCACATTGTCACATTGTGCCAGTGCAAGAATGAAGAAAAAAGCCAAGCCTTTCTAGTCTGCATGTCTGTGACAATAATCATATTGTATACACACACGAGCAGCACACTTACATAATGTACATGTAAGCTATAGAAGCTTTAGTTTAAAGCCAATTACATTATCATACTTTTTCTACAAATGTTTTACGACATCATATATTCCATTGTACCTACTTTGTAGTTTAATTTGATAAAATTTGCTGCATAACTGTACTTATTTCTTTTCTATCAGTCAGTTACAATTTGTCAATAGTTTATTGGATTACTCATATACATACAGAATCTACTGATTACAGGTCAAACACAGATCTAGATTTCATGTTAACGTTGACAAAAAAAGTTAATTCCGCATACATATTTACGAAAAAGACCCCATAGGTGCATCTTTTAGCTGCCCGATCATTGCCTTCCCTTTGGTGTTTGGAATACCGCTTTTGCAAGTATTTGTGCATATACATGTATCCACTTTATCTGTGGCTTCTATTGTTCGATTCAAAACCAATGGTGTACTTTCTGCTCCATACAAGTAACGCTTAATGTACAACATTACTTTAGGCGCATATTGCTAGACTATCTTAACAGCAACTAGTGACTGACATAACGTTACATGTGTGACTGATAGACGTTGCACAGAGCTACGACAGTTTAATGAGAAAGGAACGTGTCCCACAGCTTCAGGGCAAAAGTCAGTAATTTGCGCATACGAGTCATATTTACCACAATTTCTGCCGTATAAAATTCTCTCGTTATGGGATAAAGGGTGGCTTTATTGGTTGAAGTACCCTGCCAGTGTGTGTTTTTAATCGTCTAAAACTCAGGTTACACACTCGAATGGCTTTTGACGATTTTTTTCTGACATAATTCGTATTTTATAAGATGCCAACTGCTACTACTGCCCTTTTTCTTCACGTTCGTCTCATCGGATAACCCCAGTCAGCACAAGTGACAACTGCTCGTCCGTCTCTATCTACCCCCTGCTATGCCGCAGGTTAAGACCCCGTTACACATGGCGGAATATGACCTCCTGAATACTAGCCAAACTGCTCACAATGTGGTTAGGGGTAGGTCGGGAGCACGGTCGGCTGGTGTTCCGCCAAACGTGTAAAACATTTGAATGTGGACGAGGAGCTTCGCAAATCTAGGCTGGTGGTCGGCCTGTGTTCTGGAGGAGGCCGGGGCATAGTTGGCAGTCAAAATTAGCTGAAATTCGATTCGTTTCGTATAGAAAGGAAGTCGTGGCCTAAATCCAGTCAGACTGCTCCCGAAATTGATTCTACTCTCCAAGAAGAGGTTTAGGGTTTGGCTTATTTTTGGCGTGTTTTTAGGCTTTCTTATCAGGATTTCTTTTAATTTTTTGCACTGGAATATTTTTTTCACCCTAAAAGCTAGCTTCATAGGTTGAAGTAAGAAAGATTCCAGTGCAAAAAAAAACTGATAAAAAGCCTTAAAAACACGCCAAAAATACTTGAACCAAAACCTCTGCTTGAAGAGTAGGAAGATTCTGAATGTGTGACAGGGGTTCTATAGTGCAGCTGCCCAGACGCGGACCTACAGACTCTCCGCCTGTATCTCATTCAGTACGTTCTCTGCCTCGTGGTGGTTCTGTGGACCTCTGCCGCCCCGTCTCTTCCACATCTTCTGCCGCGACTTGGGAGGAGGCATCGGTGGGTCTACTTGTACCTGGAGAACAGCAAAGCACATCATCTCGATGAAGGTTAGACATTCAGGTAATAAACAATATTCGAAGACAATTCAAAATCTACTAAAAAAAAGACCCCTTTCCAGTAGTTACACCGGTGCAAAGCCTAACCGAAAAGAGTGCTTGCTTTGACGTGAAGTAATGAGTTCAAAACCCGGCCGAATCATACCATACTGATTTCTCTGCTTGGCACTTAGCATCTATGAGAAAGAGTATGGGAAGGTCAAACACACAACGCTATCAGTATACTAGCCCTCTGCTGTAGAGCCGGGTTCCACAACTGTGCGGCCCAAGGGCAACAGAAAGGGAGATGGGCACTCCCCCTATGCTCGGCAAGAAGTAGGAACGGGACCTAGCTTCTTCTTTACATGTAGTAAATTGTTTCCGGTCGACGTTTCCTACAGCGTCATTTTAAAAATGAGCTGACGGAACCAGTGAACATATACAGCGCGTGTATAAAAGGAACTGGAAAACCGTGCAACTTGGAATGAAAGTGAATAATTTCCTGACAACGCTTAACAGTGAATTAAGATGGCTCAGTGCTATGCCTGACACGGAAAAAACGGCACGTGTCAGCTTGGTAAGATGCCAGCTTTTTGTTAGGCCATAGCTTCTGGCGTTTAAATTACCTACAGCCGTAGGTCACCGAAATACGTTTCCGAGACTATTTTTAGACAGCAACATGTTGAAGGGTAAGTCAGACCAAACTGTACTCACTGTGACTGCGTCCTCCCCCTGGCCCTCCTCCAGAATACTCTCCGGTGAGATGATGTCCTGTCCGTCCGGCCGCTGCCGTTCTAATGACGAGTAGGACGGCAGTGCAGCTGGGTGGGCCAGACCTGCAAGAATAAAGATGTATCAGTGTACCCTTGGTGCACCAGATTGTTTCCAGGGCCTACAGTAGGCTACACAGGACAGTTCATCAGATCAACTTGACCCTGTGGCTTACTACTCTGGGCCGCGTGTATGGGTCTGGCATCCGCTCAGGTTCACATGCATGTATAGTCTCAATGATAGTTTTATTTCCTCAACATCATGTCCGTAATTACTATACGACTAGACTGTGAAGATGTAAAAGTGATAGTTTAGTGTCATTTTGGCCAGGCTTACACGTCCTTTAGATTGTGACAAGGTATTAATGCAGTTCCGACCAAGATCGTTAGTCGGTCTATTTTACAGTAGCATGTGGTTGAAGAATCGTAGGAGAAATGCATATGCAGCCTTGCAGCAATTTAGTTACAAGGCTTTAAAGCATTTAAGCGGCTACAAACTGTACTTCTATAGCGGACCAACACCTCTGGTATGTTATCTGTCGACATCTTTTTGGCTATTTTTACTCTTTCAGCCTCTTCTGAAGCCTAAAAGACACGTATGCTCCGTAGCAGGCTTATAGAACTGGGGGTTTGGTGGTCGTTGGCTGTTTTCTGATCAGCCAAGTTCTATCAGGCCGGCTATGTTGTCTATCATCATCATTGGCCTCCCTCCGTCTGGGCAGACGATGGCACGCGCCTCCTTGAACAGGTTCTCCTGTGGCTGTATAGACCGATCCTTGAGTGGCAGTCTCTGTTGTAGCTCACACAGATAAACGTTGAAGTATGCTGAGCTGATGTTGTCTATATGCAATCAGAAAATAGCACATTTGTAGCAAAGACCCTGAAGACCCCAAAACCCCCAGTTTTTGGCATGCTATGGAGGATAATACATGTATGTACGTAGCTTCGTTTCACTTAGACAGAAGAAGCCTACCGGTGTAGGATAAGCCCACTGCCGTCCACTCCTTGTCTGTGCGGGGAGGGGGGCGTGGCTTCAGGGTCCCGTCCAGTTCCTGCAGCTCCAACAGGTCCTCCACACCGGAGTCGTTGGTGCCGTGACCGGGCTTACGGGCGTACTTAGGCAGCGGGGGGACCGGCTTCGTGTGGGGGACTGCCACGGCTGGAAAGCGGTAAGGAACAGGTTTGTTTATTTGTTTGCTTGTTTAGGATGTCCATTAGTGTACTAAATCACACACTATATTCTTCCTTGAGTTCTGCTGACGATTTTAATCACCATGTGGCTAATGCGAGATGGGGATTTGCCAGGCCTCAATCTGGGCGACTTGTAGCGAATCACCAACTTCCAGATAGTAGATATGTAGTAAATAGTGAATAGTAGTAAATATTGAAATTTTCTACGTTGATGAAAGTTAGACATTTAAGTAAGCAATAAGCAATTCGAACCCTACGATTGGATAAATCATGCGGATTTCTTCCTGACATTTCAAGTGATATCCATCACTTCGTCAATCTGTTTTGTTATGTTTACCAAAGGAAAAAATTGTTTTTGCTCTGTTTCTTCCGCTCTTCTTCTTCTTCTTCTCCGAGCAGTGACCTATGACCTGACCAATGACATGATTTGCTGACGTCTGCCACCATGGCGACTGGTGTTGGGTTACATAATGTTGCAATTTCACTGTCCATGTCCGAAGGTAAACACTATGCAAAGCAAATGTTACTTCTCTAGTTTGATATATCTCAGCATAACGTTATCGCTCAGAGGTTAAAATTGAGTATTTTTTCCTTGTTTGCGTACCTGTTTCCTCACCAATGCAGATCCATCCTCGGGCCCGGGCCACGCAGACGAAAATCACCATCACGGTCACTACGGCAAGGATCACTACGGATATGGAAATGACGACAGCCATCGAGCTCCCTAAGAAAAAACATTTTTTATTTTTATTTCAATTAGCATTACACAAAGGACATAGACAATGTGACGTACACTTAAGCTACAACTTATATTGTTATGCCACATCATCGTACACAAAAAAAACAGTGCGGCCACCTCCCATATAACTAAGTACCATATATATTCATCGCGAGAAAGAAAATTCAATGTTTGCCTTCTTTATCTATTTGACGGATATGTACATCAGTCAAACAGAGCTAGAAGTACTTAGTGACTTCATATATTTGCCTTTATATTCTTGTGTTAAAATTGTAACATATGGTATAAGACATAACATTGCCAGCATAATAATGATTTTGAAACATTCAGCTAGCGCAGCCGAACATTAGCTGACCTGGCCGACCATTAGCCGACCTTTCCGCCGACCTCCTCCTAACTATGGCTGAGGAGAGTTCGCGGCAGTGTTCGGGAGACCATATTCGGCTATGTGTGACAGAGGCTTGAGCAAGCCAAAGGATAGAAGAGGCCTTCTATCATGGTGTTTAAGGGCTTGACTCCAGTTTCAGTTTTATTGAGAGTTTCGACCTTTTGAGTGAGTGACTCATCGAGGGTTATTTCAATTCCACACTATCAATCACATGGAGTAACATGCCTGGTCGATGGAAACTTTATAGTCCTAAAGAAAATCATATCTAATATAATCACATATGACTAGGTCAGCATGAGATTTTGGGTCCATTTTATGATCAGCCAGACTGTTACAGACAGAATTATAATTACAAATGGCATTCTTCCATGTAGGGATATTAATAAAAGCTTGGTGTCTGGTCAATGAAAGGCATTTCATTTGTGCGCTTGTAATATGATCAAGGTCCCAAGACCTCCAATCTTAATTTCATCACCAGCGCCAGAATTACATTGGACTTTGTCCAAGAGGCACTGGCACTCCTTTGTCCTTTGTTAACGAACACAGCCTAGACTAGAAATGCCGTACCATCCTCTTGGGTAATCTTGGGCTCAACATGCCAAATGTCGTTTGGCATATCTTTATGCAAGCCTTGTCCCTTATGGATATAGTATATTGTATGGGATGGCTCCACATCTTATGCATGGCATTTGAAAGATATTTCTATGCAGACACAACTGCATGTGTCGTGCGAAGTGCATGCATTGTCAGCTTTTTTTCTCCAGCTGTCCACTGGGCAATGTAAGCCAAAAGGCAGGTTGCCCATTAGTATTTAAAGTTGCCGTCAGCACCGTCAGTTTAGTTTAGAAGGCAAGCCAAACGCATGGCTACCTGTAAAGTTATCGCTCACATGCAGGCTGCATACAGTTTATTTCAGAAGCTAGCAGTAAACCAGACCGCTGTAAACTTTAAAAGGTCGTTTTGGATGTAAAAAGAATATAACTTAGGCGCCGGGCAACCACCAATCTCCAAAAAGTCTAGCAAAGAAAAATGGCTGTGTTTGAGAATGGGAATCTTTTTTGAACCACGATTGATTTTTTTTTTGTACTTAACAGGCCGAATAAAGAGACTCATTATACACAACTAAGTTGAACCAACTTTTTTCAGCCGACGTTTCGGTGACCGTCTGTCACATACAGTTTCCTGCAACCGTGTAGATATGTAAATATTTTAGGTTTGGGAATGCATCTATAGCACCGACACCAGTGCTGTGCAAAGTGAACCAGTCAGAATTGCAATGAGGAAGATGACAGACGGTCACCGAAACGTCTGCTGAATAAAACACTTAATTGACAATGTGTAAAAAATAGTCTCTTTTAAAAACCTGATGAAACTATTTACGGGTTTTTATCTAACAAACCTTTTACGACTGCCAGCCGTATCTCCTTGTGATGGGAGCCGAACATGTTGGAAGCCTTGCAGATGTAGGTTCCCTCATCGTCCTCCCGAACGTCTGTCAGGGACAGCACGCTCGACCTCAACGAATAAGAAAAAAAATGCTTTTGATACAGAGGCATTTCCAAATGTAACAACCTACCGCAGATCTACAGTAATAAACATCTAAGATCAAAGGACAGTCCTAAATCAGGACTTATTCAGTATTCCCGTGCAAAAACTGCGTAGACGAAATCATGTGTATCTCAAGTAAGAGCAAATTGATGTATTCCAAGAAGTCATTATTTTATTCATGTTGTATAGTAGTGTAATGTTGTCGTTTTTATTTGATTGTGTAGTATGTATTTTGTAGTATGTATGTAAATTGACCTGTCCTTGTTCCGTAGATAAGGGGATTACTTTTATGCCTTTTTATCGTGGCGACATCTCACAGACTTCTTCCGAATTCCAGGCCAATTTGATCGTCGATGGCCGGCTACCTTCTCTCGCCAATTAATACCCTTTTAGGCCGATTTCTACGATTTATTCAGCCTGCAAAAGAAGTCTGGTGGAGACTATAGTATGTGTAAAGTTATGTGTTTTGGACTACAGGAAGACTAGTTGCTTTTGCAACAAATGGATATCCTAATAAAGTATCGAGTATCAATTACCTTCCGTCCGGCGAGGGTCTCTCGTCGATGGAGATGCCGTTATTGGTTGTTACCAGGTTGATCTCCTGTCCCAGTTTGTTACTCATGGACCAGGTGATGCGGTCGGGAAGAGGGTCGGCCGTTACGTCACAGTGGAAGCGAGCAGAGCCCCCGACCCGGGTGGAGACGAAAGACGACCCACTCTGGATCTGAGGCTGACCTTTTGAGGAATGAAAAACCCACAGGGCTAAGTACAGAATTGTATATGCATGTATACAATAGAGCTGTTAGTTATGTTTATCGAATAAAACATATTTTGATCAGTTTTTTTCATCCTCTCCAAAAATAAGGTCAATGACCGAAACCAGACGTCTGTCACCATGGTAACATCATGTTGCAATTTTATAACAAGAGAGATTTAGACTTCTGTCTGACCATATACATGTATATGAATGTATTTGGGTGAGAATTAACAGAACATACCATATGCGAAGGTAAACATTATGCATTTGCTTTGCAAATGTCACCATTCTAGTACTAGCATTATGTTCAATAGAAATGTAAATTTGTCTGTATTTCTTAGTAATATAAAGATGGAGAACTATCGATGAAATATAGAGAAATATCGATGTTTTCTCTCATTGTTGTACAGACTTTATTCTACCACAAAATGGCGTTCAAATGGTGCAAAATGCATTGCTGTCATTTGAAACTGTGCATTCGATGTGACGAAAAATGTCACCTTACCAACTACGTCGATACGGACATCTCTCTTGGCAGCAGGGAATCCGTCACTTGTTGCCACGCATTGATACGTCCCCTCCACGTCGTAACGCACCCGGTGGAAGCGAAGTGGGTTTTCCCAATACAAACTTGTATCCTTCCGCCGCCAGCGGGTGTGAGGTTTGGGGTTTCCCTCCGCTTGGCAGTTTAAACTGAAGTCCTCCCGGTGTAACATAACCGTTACTTTGGCGTCCATGGTTGTTTCTATAACTGGGGGATCTGCATTTTGAACAGAATTTATCTTTTCCACGCTCAGACAGCAGGAATCCACAAAGCACTATTTCCCAAGCAACAGAGGAATCGGAGTTTGCAAACATGCCGTGGCTTTACTTGAATTTGTGAATTGAATCTAGTTTAATTTCCCCAACTGGAAGGCTATAACAGGACCCTAGCATCTACCAGGCTTCAGAAGCGGCTGGAAACAGTAGATAGACCGATAACATGTCAGGGAATGTGGCCCGATCCCTAAGTTCTCTGAAGGGGTAAACCGTACTCCTTTAGCACATTAACTCACCTGTCATATTATCTACTTCATAATGTTTAATTTCTATTCTTTCCAGCAACTTCTGAAGGCTGATAGCAGCTATGACCTAGTATGTTTTACGAAAATCCATAGTTTATCTAATGTGTAAAAACCACCATTTCAGCATGCACTTCTTTTACATTATGCAACGTGCACTCACAGAAGACTTGCAGACTGACGGACCCCACGCCTGTCGGTTCTACTCCGTTATCAGCCGTGCACTGGTACACACCGCTGTCTCTCCGGGACGTCTTCGGGATGTGCAGGGTACTGCCCCTAATGCGGAGAAACAGCACGACTTTTGGAATAAATTTGGTACGATAGCTACATTAGTTTCTGTTTTGGTAACGTTGCGCACTCTAGAGGACGCCCCGTCCAAGTGTAGACAAGTAAATTAAGGCACGGTACTATCCCTGATGTGGAGAAATAGCACGATTCGGAATATCTTCTTGAAAAGCAAATTGATACGATAGCCATATCAGTTTTTGTCGTAAAGCTTTAGCAAAGATTTGGTAACGTGATATACTCTAGATAGCACCCTGTCCAAGTGCAGACAATTAAGTAAATTAAAGTATTCCGGTATTCCTTCCTACTGTGCATGGTACTACCACTAATACAAAGAAACAGTACGATTCTTCTTGGGAGGGAATCTGATACGTTATCAACATAAATTTCTGTCGTAAAAAGTTTAACTTAGTAAAGTTTTGGTAACGCGGTACACTCTAGAGGATGCCCCCGTCCAAGTGCAGACAACTAAATGAACGGATTACTTTGGTACTGCACAGATGCAAAGAAACATGACGATTCGGAGCGTCTTCTTGGGAAGAAAAACTGATACGATACCTACATCAGTTTCTGTCATGAAACGTTAACAAAGTTTCGGTAACACTATATACCCCAGAGGATCCTCCGTCCAAGTGCAGACAAGTAAATTAATGGCGGCTGGACGCAACCCTTTGTTTCTGTCACCAACGTTAGTATTCAATGTCAAGGAACTGTTGCCATTGATTATTTGATTGATTTGTATCCATGATACCATTCATTGTTAATGACTTCGTACCTACATTCAGTCCGACGACATCATTCATATCAGGGAGATTGTCAAAACCTATTGAATTTACACAAACCTTGTTCGAACCAGATTCTTCTGATGCTATCAAAATGCAAAAACCGATTGGAAGACATGATTTCCCCCCGACTATACTGCAAAATCTTGCTTTGGATAGTTTTTCCTACCATAACCTAACGTAGGAGGTTATGCATCTTATCTGTATTGGTTTTGGCTTCTTTCTATCAAGATTGGTCTAAGTCGGTAAGCCAAATTTGTATTGATTAACCAATGGCAATGCCTTGGGATCATCTCCTACGGCGTAGGTTATCTGCAATCTGGCTTGGTCCGTTCCTGATGAGATTATAGAACTTTTCCTCCATATCAGGTCTTTAATCAGCGACCATCAATGGTGATTTATAGAGCTTTCCAAAACGCACCAAAGATCAATGGAAACCCAGTAAGGGGATTGTAAAAGTAGCTCATGACAAAGCCTGTTACAGAAACGCTTGCCTTTCCGCATCTACGTTATTAGAATTTTGAACTATGTTTGCATTCTATTCAAGGAATGAATTCAATTATCTTGTATCTCTGCAATGCATATAGAAGAATGATATTTTCAAATTTCCCAGCCAAATTATAGGAAGATCAGTGTAATTTAATAATGTGATCATTGCTTGACTACTTCGGTCATTACCCAAGCATTTGCGCATAATGAGTTTTGCAGTAATCTCCCAATATTGCTGCATTATGGTCAATACATAACCTGGATAACACAATAGATGTAGAGAGCTCGGTTGATATTCTATCGTAGGCAATTTTTGTTAAAGTTTTGTTGAATGACTTTACGAGAAAAAACTATTTTAACGATTTTAGGCCCAAACTCACATAATTGACGTCATAATGATGTCATATTTCACCATAATAACAAAAATAGGCTCTTATGGCTTAATTCCACTACTATATTACCCTCTGAAAATTTGGTGGTCATACAACAAGTAGTTTTTTAGAGTTACGGGGGGCGGGCTTCGACCCTCCTTACAAGCTTAAGATGGCCAAAAAGCCCTGTCTGAATAGGATTAATTGCATTAGTACACTTATACCTTTGTACACTTTCCAGTGGCAGCACGTCTCCTAGTTTCTTCCAGCTAATGATTGCCCTGGGGTTGGCGTCCACGTAACAGGTCAGGTTAGTGGGTCTCCCCTCCAACACGTGCACGGAATGGGACGGGACGATCACTATTGGTGGGTCTGAGGGGATGCAGTTTACGTGGTTAGGATGAAACAAAAAACACATATAACTAGAAAGGTAACATTTACAAAGCAATTGCATAATGTTTACCTTCGCATATGGTCTGCTCTATTAATTCTTACTCATTGACAAACACATTCGTATATATGGTGACAGGAGTCTAAATCCCTCCTACTATAAAATGATGATGTAACCGAACACCAGTTACCATGGTGAGAGACAGTCTGGTTAACCAGGTCAGAGGTCAGTATTTGAAACGGAAGAAGAAGAGGAAACTGAGCAAAGACAAGCATGTTTTCCTTCGGTAAACATAATAAATCGCATTGATCTACTCAAACTCTAGAAACAATGTAACGATTGTCTTTGGTCTAACCAATAAAGCCCCTGTCACACATTCAACAAAATTACCATTAACCAACCAAGCTTAACGTTGGCTGAAGTTCGGGAGCAGTATGGCCAGATTTAGGATACGGGTACTTTTCTTTACGAATCTAATGGAATTTGATTTAAATTTAAGGAAAATTTGAACCCCCCCCCCGCCCCCCGAACACGCTCAGAACACTGCCGACCTACTCTCAACCAACAGCCAACCACCTGCCAACCAAAGCCAATCTTGTCCCGACCTAATCTTAGCCGCACGGCTGCGCTCTTGGGAGGCCATATTTGGGGCTTAACCCTGTGTGACAGGGGCTTGACCCTAAAACTTCAAGTGTATGCCGTGAGAATATAGGAATGAATGTTTGAATGCATTTCATGGAAGTTTTAGAATAAAGCAAAAACTTACAATGCACACGGAGTATACGGGAGGCCGATTTGGTCTTCACCAGGTTTTGGAATCCCTGGTCTGCTACACAGGTGAAGTTTGCTCCGTTGTCCCAGCGCGTCACGTCAGGTGTGAAGAGTTCTATATCCGTCCCGCCGGTGTCCTGTGGTTGGGCCGGGCGGGTGGATCGGTAGGGCTGTGAGCCGTTATACCAGGTCAGCTGTGGCGGGGGGTAACCACCCCGGGAACGACATGTCAGCAGGAGCTCGTCCCCAGCCGTCAGAGGAAGTTCTGCTCCAGTGATGTCAGGAGCGCCGTCCATCGGAGCTAGGAAAGGCGATTTGCTTTATTACTAGGCTGAATAAACTATTTACATATAGTAGGATTTTGGTCAGTACGTATACGTTCAACACATATTTACGCACAAGAGCGTGAGGATACTGTATCATATTTTGTTTGCCAGAAACATATCCATTGGAGCTACCTTTGCAGGTTACACAGCACCGTATTTAATACTCGTTGACATTTTATTACATCGTTTCTAAAAAGAAAGGCGCCCCACCATTCATTGAATGCACGTATAATAAATCTTACCAACGACAGTAAGTGTAGCATCCCCTGCCTTTTCTACCGACGTTGTGAAACATCTGTAGTCCCCTGTGTCACTTATGGTCGTGTCGCGAATCTCCAGGTTATACTCTCCTGTCTTAGTGTCTCCTACAATTCTATGTCGATTGAAAGGTTTGAAAACTGCTGTTCCCGAAGATACCACAGTAAAGTCAGGTGGTCCTTCCCATATGACCGGGTCATTGCTGCTCAATCCGTTGAATGAACAACCCAAAGTGACAACTCTGCCCGTTAGAACCGCCACAGATTTTGGTGTTGTCCGGTAGGAGGCTCCTTTAGCTGTCGACAAAAAAACATTGACTATGATGATTAATTTCCAAAAATAAATCTTCCTTTGAAAAGAGATCCTACGAATACCATAAATCATCATAGCACCATGCAGGTGTGTTGTCTTACAAGTCTATCAAAACATCATCTTCACACTTAACATCACTGTTTCGAATCAATCAAACATTGATTCGGAACATACATCAACGAATACCATAAGTCACCAGTGCAGGTGCGTTGTCTATCAAAACATCATCCTGCCACTAGCACAATGTTCCTTCTAACATATTTTCTTCATCATCGGGGATTTCTGGTTGGATAGTGTGTTCTAAATCAATTAAATATTGACATTTCACCCAATTTGACAGTCTCCATTGGCATCAAGTTGGCATCCTCATTGGGCATTTACCTACAGCATAGTGTTATAGCTTACAAACGCAGCAGACGCTTTCATTACATTCCACCTGAGACTGGTTACCCCAAGCCCACTCCAGACGTTCAATGACACCCAAGCTCTCAAATCAAATCGATAGGCACGCTTTACAAATCACAACGCCATTATCACAACAGCTGCTCCTTCACTGAAGCACACTTAGTGACATGATAGGCATTAACGCCATTAATCACCACCCCCGTGGGACAATCATTGCCTCATTAATTACATTAATGGCCTGTCTCTTCTTTATTAGTGTGTGTCTTCCCTCTATCAATCACATCTGAGTTAACGCTTCATCGTTGTACATTGCGATACTGTATCCATATAGTGGCGGCAGTTAAAAGAGGTTGGATCTGGTAAAGATGCATATAGAACGATAGAAGAAGTCAATCTTCTGGTCATGTCTTTACAAAATAAGTTGAATTAGCCCTGCTCCTTTGCAAATAAGTGCCATTTAGGAAGTGGAGGTGCTGAAATATTACGCACACGAGTGTGTTTAAACCACAGCTTTTAGCCATGTTTGTTTACATTGTGGTAGTTTGTTGTGTTCCCTCAAACTGGGCACACTTCGCATGGGCCGTTTTAGCATCAACCATAAATGTCAGAGATACGAGATAGTTGCACAGCTATGTTGAAAATTGGAAGTGAATTACAGTCACTAAAAGATAATTGAAATATTTCAACTCTTAGTTAAAAAAATGCTTAACTTTTAAAATGCTTGCTGCAACGCTGCGATAAAGGAAAGGGATTTGACTGAACTTTGCTCAAATGATTGGCGGCTCTCTACTGATGCATTGACAAGATTGGTCGAAACGTTTCTTAGATTCTGCGAGCGCCGCGGGAATCATGAAGTAGATGATCATGATCAGCAACAACGTAACGATCTCCGTTAACGGCATTATTCATAAGAATTTATTGTTCCTTGCAAGACGACCTCTTCTTGGATCCTCTTAATCACTCGGCTCCACGGTGAACCTTGACTAGGTGGATTCCCCATGATACCGTAATGTATGATAGCAACATGTCTTTCTTGATGTTATACATCATAAACGCCCTTAAATCAGGATGAATGCTTAATTCTATCGTTCTGAAGTACAAGATGTGCTAACATCAATAGATGCTACAGTCCATTTGCGATCTGCTCTGACTAAAACACTAATAAAGATACAATCATAATCATTTTGAGCAATTATTTTAGCATCTGATGATAATGTATATCAGATGTCTATAACAGATTTATATTCGTGCTTTGATTACACATACTTAATATAATATAGCTGTAATTATTAAGGCGGTTATAAATAGTACAGAAGTAATAACGCCGAGGAGAAAATAACACCAACAGATTAATCCATGCGTCCAAGGACAACGAAAGACAGTACTTCCCCCTACAGCTCAGTTTGATGTGTTGATGCAAAAAAGTTAACACTGCAAAAATAGAAACCAATTGAAAGATAACGTTGCAACGTAAGCTGTAAGACAGGCCTGAGAAGTGCCGGTGCTAAATATTGATCTCATTGGTCAATACTCGCGGCAATCAGTGTGGATCACCCCGTGGTTGATTACCCGACCTATGGGCTTGACAGCATTCGTTCCAGATGACGAAGTACAACTAGTGGAACATGTGGCTTCTGACCAACGCTATTTTTCTTTTTCCTTCGTTCAGAGTCAAGGTAGGGATGCGTCGATTCTAAACACGACGTTCTTGTAATTTGCATGAAACTGTGCGCAATATATATGTGTTGAGTGAGTGAGTGTTGTTGCATACACTGCACGAAAACTTGGATTTACCAATGGTAGTTGGATTTTTGCAAACAGTACTGAACTTAACCATGGTAGTGAAAACTTAAACCCCAAATCTGGAAAGCTTCATTTACTTCTGAATTAATAAAATTTTATTTACTATCATTCTCAAGTTCAGTTACAAAGTAAACATTTTACCCGGCTTTACTGGTATTTGCCTCCAGTGGTAAAAACTTTTCGTGCAGTGAGACAACTGAATAATGCAGAGTATATCATGCTCTTTGTGTGGAACAGACCAAAGTACTCCTCGGCAAGTGGTATAGCTGACCTTAGGGACTTCATTTGTGTTGGCAATTTTCAGAATCAGATAGTGTGACGCATATCATTACATCACATAAAAAAAGAAACGAACGTTTCTGATTTACTAAAATACGTTGAGCGAGAGGCACTGGTATATGCTGTAAGTCATTTCCTTATCAAACTTTCGTTGTGAGTTGTGGGTGACTATTTAGCCAACCAAATGCACTGTTTTCAGATCTCAATCTTTTTGGACAATGTGCCATAATATATTTTGCTTTAATCTACAGCCTGGCTTTCATAATAACCATATTGTTATATAAATCTATGCTACTGTACCATTACTTTGTTTTCAAGCATTGATGCGTTTTAGATAATGGTTATATCTGTTTTAATATATGGGTTGCCATATTGTACCGTAATGGTGATAAACACACTGCAATCATTGTCAGTGCACACTGGGGGGCCTCATTCACCACTTAAGTATACAATTAGCCCAGTAGACAGATGGTTGATCTGAGGCCAATTTCTAACATAGCTTTTACGCCAATTACGGGATTTATTGCACTTATTGTGGTAAAGGTTATTATGATTAACTTAAACATAACTTTAATGTAGAAGGGAAAAACGGAAAGGTGGAACGAAATGGCAACCCATGTTGCATGCAAATTAGATTTAACATGCTGGGCACAAATAGGAACAGACATAGCACATGATAAATTATATATCTTTTGTATCGTTGGCGGCCGCAAAAAGTTGATATCAGGCAATACAAGGCCATTTCCATTCAGAAAATGTTTTGATAATAGATTATACTTGCATATTAAGAAGTTTCTTTTGAATAGTTATCAACATACACATTACCGTGCTGTTACTTCACCTTTGCAGGTAGAAAAATATGCCAATTACTAAGTATGCAAATAATCACCTAATTTGCAATGTGATAATGTTATGATTCCATTTACTTAATTGTAAATGATGATAATTTCATACGCGTGACATATGTAAGCTAGTTAAAGTTTAACATCAGTATAATAAATGATGAAATCTTGAAATGAAATATTGCCAAAGGAGTCTCACATATAAAACATATGTTATTTAGAAAACTATAAATTAGATAAGATGATGCTTATGCTTACAAAAGCTCGAAATATTCAATAATAATAATAATAATAATAATAGTAATAATAATAGTAAATAACTGTTCTCAGGTACAGGCAATTAACGCCGGATCGGTACATCAAGTGAGTGTAGGTCCTTTCCTTGTGTCTGGCCTGGTCTTGTAGCCACTTAAGTAAGTAGGCCTAAGCTTTGATGTTCTGCTGGAGGTACAACTGGAAGTACAATATCTAATGGAGGTATGCTATCCCTGACTTCTTGTTACTATTGAGTTTCCGTGCGGGACTAAAGAAACGTGCACACCAGACCTGCTGACCCTCACGGCGGCTGCCAGACTGAGAAAACTAGCTTATCTCACCGGCAGCGGGAGGATTCGCCAAATTTGGCACGAATTAAGACTAAGTGGGATTAACTTTTGACCCATCAAATCTGCTACGTGTTGAAAGCTGCTACCTTAATGTGAGCGTGTATAGAGCTCCGGAAACTGCGCAGGTGGCGAGGGAGGACTTGGCGCAATTGAAGAGATTAGGAGACCGCTGATATTGGAACAGAATCCCGGTTGATTGTATAATCTTTCTCTTTCAAATGGAAGGGGATTGTATTAGGCATGGGCTCGACCCTAAAGCAAATTATCGTAAAACACGTTTACAGCACACTGTCACATCATTAACGTATACAATACTCTAATACATGCATAACAAGATTGTAAGGGATAAAATTATTAGCGAATTCTGTAAATCCATTTACTCCAATTTTAATGACGGTTATCCTATTGTAAATATTATAATAAATATGACGCACTCTTTAATGTTATTTAATATGAAAACCCGCACACACACACTACCGAAAACAAAGCCTTCTTTGTGAAGGTAACAACACGGCATGGCTGTTGTCACGATCCCGCCGTTCAGATCTTAAATTGCCGCAGAGTTAATCAGGCAGAGCTAAGTCCCCCGGCAGACATGCGATAAGGGGACTCCTCCACAGACGGATGCCAATGTGGCAGCCAACCATTGATCTATTCCAGTAACACAACAGATACAGTTCCAGGAATATATGTACAGGCATTAAAGGCCTCCGGGATCGAAGGGCTGACGTTGAGTACGGCGGGCACAAAACAAACTTACACAATAAGTGCCATCCACTGATCTATTCCAGTAACACAAAACATACACTTCCAGGAAAAAACACAGGGATCAATGGGCGGAAATTTCATACGGTGGACACAAAATAAACTTTTAGCACACAATACGTGCCAACCACTTATCCATTCCAGTAACACAATGGATACAGTTCCAGGAAAATACATAGGATCAATGGCATGGCATTTAGTACGGCGAACACAGAGTGAACCTTTAGCACACGATACGCGTCAACCGTTAATCTATTCCTGTATCACAAAATATTCAATTCCAGGAAAATACACAAGGATCAATAGCCAGAAATGTAGTATGGTGGACACAAAACAAACTTTTAGCACACAGTACGTGCCAACCACTGATCTATTCCAGAAACACAAAAGAATACGCTTCTAGAATAATACAGAAGAGAAGGTAATAAAGGCATCCGGGATCGAAGGACTGACGTTGAGTATACGGCGGACAGAAAACAACACAATACGCGTCAATTGTTAATCTATTCCAGTAACACAACAGATACAGTTCCAGGAAAACACACAGAAATCAATTCCCTGAAATTTAGTACGGCTGGCACAAAATAATTTTTAGCACACAATACGCGTCAACCGTTGATCTATTCCAGTATCACAAAAGATACAGTTTCAGGAAAATGCAAAGGGATCAATGGCCTGTCATTTAGTACGGTGGACACAAAATAAAGTTTTAGCACACAATACGCGCCAACCGTCGATCTATTCCAGTAACACGAAAGGATACGCTTCCAGAAAAATACAGACGGTACTCGTAAAAGCATCCGGAATCGAAACACTGACGTTAAGTACGGCGGACACAAAATAAACCTTCAGCACACAATACGCGCCAGTACTCGCGCCAACCGTTGATCTATATTCCAGTAACACAAAAGATACAGTTCCAGGAAAATACAGGTGGTAAAGGCAGCGGGGATCGATGGACTGAAGTTGAATAGGGTGGACACAAAACAAACTTTTAGCACACAATACGCGTCCATCAATTGGTTGATGACATCCGCAGGGACCGGTGAGGTTTCCACGGGTCAGGTTATTACAGAGACCACACAAGAGGAGAATTATTAATGTCGATATCGTGCAGAGTCCGTCTTCTACACCAGGGATACCTACGGCCGACGTAAATGTGTTTTGGGTTGCTTCCCAGCTTGGCTAATCATAATACGGGCTCTTTTAGATGTTCCAGTGCGGTAAACAGAATCTATTATGATTTTTCTTGCTGATTGATACGTTTTCAGTTTTCTGGCAGAAGAAACGTATGCTGATGTAAAGTCAATAGAATTGTCTTTGTTTTCGATTCAGTTATTATGCGAAATGGTCCTCGCGTGGATGAGATAGTCGATAACTTGATACACGTGGGATCTATATTCCCTATGCATGTAATATCAGCAATTAATCGCAGCGCCTCCTCCGTGTATATGCAGTCGCATCTGTTGCTGGTTCTCAACTGCCGCCAATATTGAGATTACTATCTAATTCATGCGATATTTTAATATCACAATAATCACAGAGCAAATATCTAAAACTTTGAAATACATATGCTTGACGTGTAGTTCATAGCGCCGAAATGACAACTTTAAATGCCAAGAATGTAGTCCGTAATGATACCATTTTGTCGGCCTCTGAAGCGTAATTGCCGGCGAAACAAGGTTTTTAATGAGTGGGGCTCATGCGCCGATCCAGACTTCAAAGTTCCAAACGAAATGTCAGGGTATGAATAAAGCGTTCTACAGTCGTAACGCGGCATTAGCTCCACTTCCTTTGTCCACTCTAGGATGATTTCAAAGTGTTTCCCTCAAATCACTTCCAGCAGTTTATAAGAAGGGGATAAAAGCCGGACCGAAATGTCGGCACTTACGGACGGCTAATTTTCCGTACTCGCGCCGCGATTGCCGCTCAATTCGTCCGAGTTGTAATGACGATTTGTTACACGGTGTAGTCTGGTTGCGTGCACGGTCTTAATGAGCTGCTTCAGTCGAGAGGGCTTTCATTAGAGCTTTGAGCTTAATCATGAGCCGTTTAATTGGTGTGGGATAGAAGAGGGACCAGTGGGGAGCCCGAGGAATGGAATTATCCCTCAGGTTTGTACGTGTCATGTAAGATAAATTGAATTCGTCTCGAACAAGAATACCAGGAGGGCTGCAGCACTGTCGTCTATCACCGACCTTCAGGAGGTAGAGACTGCACACAGAAAAACAATATAAATGAGACTGGAAATGAAAGAAATGACTTTTGTAAGCCTTGTGTTTCTGAGCACTGAGTTCAGCTGAGTGCGTGACTTGAAAAATGATTAATGTTTGGAGTCATGTAAACAGAGTAGACATATTTTTTAAAAAAAAGACCAAATTTTCTATAAGGATTTGTCTTTTTTAAACAGTCTCGTTGGATGTGTTTCAGGAATTTCTAATTCTCTATAAATTCTAACTATGTCTATGATGTACGACACGAAATCAGCAACACAGTATGCTATTGTGGCATAGCCGTTAATACATACTACCTACTGAGACCAAACGTTACCTCAATAGCCTCATCCCAGCAATCCTTAAACACCCGGTAATTGCTCTCTATATATTTGTAGTTAATATATTGTTTATTTCAACCGTTTGGTGTCAATAGTTTACATAATGTTTTTCTTCAATCAATTTGTCACACATACTGACAACCGTGTCAAATTTGTACAGTTCCGCCCATGGGTTGCTAACGCGCCTTTATTTTATCCCCATTGTGGAAAAATAACCTATTGACCTATTCTGTCATGCCTTACAGATGCTGCATAAGGGCATTCATACTTTGTCTAGATTGACTGTTTATTAATAAGAAGAATGTCAATACGTCAATACACTGATGCTTCATCACACAATACACATACATGGTCTACGCTCAGGTACGGAACACACATATAAATACCATACACAACAGTGCTACTGTTTAAGACAAGCATTTCACACCCTTACCGTAAGATGACCACCCGATCGTCAGGATGAAAAGGACGATCCATCTCCGGGCGGCGGTCATGGTTCCGACCCGTCTGAAGAGAACACCTGCTCCGCTTGCGATTAAAGCTAGTTAGGGAAGCGGGCACCCCCGCCTAGCCTGTGTAATCCCGGCGAAAAACAAGAGAGACGATTGTTGTCTGCCGACAGCATCCAAAGTAAATTAACAGCTGGAAACGTGTCGTTCAGAACCGCTAGTAGAAAACGCTGTGGGAAGGTATCTGGATACGGTACGTCCACCGGTTGACTCACTACCCTATTAGAGCAGCGTAGGCAGCAGCAGGTCTGATGCGAGGCAGAACCGCCGAATTATATGATGTAGTACGAAGTCTCTTCAGGGAGAACGATAACCTTGGTCCTTTCAAGAGATGAGTTGGATCCTGCATACAAACCGGGTCAATATGATGTCCGTGTCACTCACAGGGGCATGCACTGGCACATATCGTAACAAGCGCGGAACAGACTCCACTGATGTATTGAACCAAGTCCCCTCTGGTTTGCACTGAAGCTATTACTATTGTAGGCAGCATGAGGCAGCCGCTGGATGAAGGGGACTACATGGGCGATCAAATGGCTAACGGGACGTTTGGGTATTTAGGTGGCGCCAGCACGACAGGTCGGTACGCGGAGGGAGACGGATGGTGATAGCCGAGGGCGGTTCGGACGCGGTACATGACAGAGACTGTGACAAACCGTCACATTCGTCAGGACGGCGCTTCAAATGCCACCATTATCCTCAATCGAAGGATTACCATGAATAAATCGTTACACTAAACTTTACCGTTCTACAGATACACACAGGCGGGGCAGGGGGAGACGGCATCACGGCAATGTTAACGACCTTCTGCGGGTTATGTATCAATTTATGAAATTCATTTCATTTGTGGTCATAAACGCAAAGGTTGTTAAATTGGCCTAAATACTGGACAGTCTCATGTACTATGAAAGGTCATGAACATGTAGAAGGGATCATGTTTTTTTTTTAATTTGATAGTTTTTTTTAGATTTATCAAACGTATTGTCGAAGTAATCTTGAACATCTAACTCGCCTTTTCGTTGGAGTACTATATATTTACCAGCTAGTTATACATATATTTGTGGTCCATCGAGTATGATAAACTTCTTTACAACTTTTATAGTGCACTGTCTACAGTAGACTGTAACTGATGACAAAAAATTAAGTTCGCCAGCACAGAAAACTCCTTTCATTGTACTGCAAAAATCAGCCAGTACCAAACTAGTTCCAGAAGCTCATAGTCATTCTGGCTGCTCCTCCTTACGTGCAAGTCATCCTTCATACACCTCATGAGATTCATGCAGGAACCGAGCCGTGCCCAATATTATGAAGAGAAACGCCTACGGTATGTCTTGAATGTGAATTTGCCGTGTATGTGATGTTTGAAGCTTGTTAAACATTCCCCAGGCACATTACCAGGGATATAGCTGGAATGGGTGGGATTATATGCGTATGTTCGACTTCCATTAAATTGATTCTCTGGTTTACACAGGCAGTTACGGCCCTGGCATGTTAATAATGGTGCCCTGGTATCAGATAAAACTTTATCTCGAACTTGTTTCAGAGAAACAGGAATGTCACAGAAGGGATATTAAATCTTTTACTGGTGACCTTAAAACGGATGATAGTTTTCTGTAGAGATGGCTCAAGTACTACTAAATCTGTAGTATTGGGTTTGCTTAAAATGTTGAATAAAAAATGTGAAAATGTAAACTACACAGCATAGGGTTACCTGGGTTATTCCTATAATCTTTCGCATGGCAAGACTCTCTTCAAACGCCAAAAGGCAGAAGAAAGATCATGATAAGTAAGACATGATATGTATAAAATATGTAAGAACAGTCGACTGAGAACAGCCATTTATAAAGCTTCATACATTCGTTTTGTCGTATTGAGTCAGATTGAGGTGGAATTCCTTGCCCTAACATGCTGCCCTCGACCCGCTTTTCGTGACTTCGCTGGACTTATCTCTACCTCCGACCGTCCTGATGTATTGTTCTATATCGGTGTTTAGAGTTATTCTAGAAACGGTCATTTGATAAGCCGAGTCACGGGGATAGTTATGATATGGGTGGCAAAACCCGTCCGAGTCTAACGGCGTTACTTAATATCAATCCACCGTACTGTTGCAAATGCGTTTGGCGATATCGATGCAGCTGCTAACGGCTGTGGTTATATGACATCGGGTATTGGAAAGCTGTTGTATAGTAATCGTCGCCTACTCTGTGGTATTAGGCAGAAGCCGGTGCATGGCAGGCACAAAGCCCGTGGGGCTTACCGGATCCACCGAGACCACAGATAATGAGTCCACGGGGAGGCAAAGTAGGGCCCAACGGTCAAGCAAAACCCATTACGGACACAACGATGATAGATGCTGAAAAGACGTGAGAGGTGGGCAAATTCCAGTAAACCCATAGTGACATGCCGTATCTTCCAGGAATTCCATTGCAAAGAATACCAAGGGGTCAGCTTTTTATAGACACAGCTTACCTAGACTTGACAAAGGAAATCAATGGTGTGAATCTATTGGCAGATAGCAGCTGTATAAGATTATAGTGATGGATTGCCTCAGCTTATAGTCTATACATTGTACTGATTTCTAGCAAGTTTGAACTGTACTTTTCATCACAAGAAATTGATTTTTGTTATCATGGACAACAAAGAGGAGGGGGGGGGGGCACAGAATCGCCGAAACCTACGATTCACTTCTTTCTGAGTCACGTGTGTCATCTGCATAACGTGACGTCATAGAAGCTACGGGTTCTTCATTCCCTAACAAAGACCGTACACACTCAGAAATTTTGTATACAAGGAGAATTACTTGTGTTGGAAATTACGGTTTGGACTTCATAAAATCTTCTACCAAGTTAATCACAGATGATCTTTCTGTATCTGTATCTGTATAGCCGGTATAACCGCCTTTCGGCGTAACACACCAGCTTCGCAGGCACGCGGCGCGGCGGCAGCTGGCTATATTACACCGATCGACTTGTTACACCTAACCCTTGAACTTCTAGCGCTAGACATTGTTTAAAGCTATCTATTGACAATGCCCCTACTGTACTTGGTGACAGTGAGTTCCACTCTTTCAATGTAAGATTTTGATTTCTCTTTATTCTGACTGACATAACAGCTTAACGTTGGCCCCATCGAACAATCATGTGCGAAGCAGTCTATCAATGCAGACTGAAACTGACATTGCATTATTACACAATGTGAGTGCAATGATTAGGGCCATTCTTAGATTAAATAAATTTACAAAACATCGATAATAATCATGTCCATATGATGTACAAAGACAACATGTCAGTCACTATTCACTAGACTAAGTATTTGCTGTTGCATGATTCGTACGTACATCACATGTACTTCATTGTTGTATTTGTTTACCAGCACAGTTTTGTGCTAATATAGTACATACAAAGCACTTTGGATATCCAAATGAGTGGCAGCTTAGATTTACATTTAATTTCCAGCCACGCTGGCATTGACTTAATATTTGCCATCGAGATATCATTCATAGAATTATAATCTTGTGAAAATAAGTCTATACACACACGACACAAGGTAATTGTTACACAAGCAACTGGACAAATTTGTAGACTACCAGACTGCCAGACGTTTCAAGGTGCATCCAGTACATTGCGGTAACCAACGGAATCTTTAGAGACAGCTTCAAGCACAACATTGCCATTGCCATTGGTAATGGTGGTACAACTAGGAAATTATTTATCTTAGTGACACGGCATTACAAGTAATATTCAAAGCAATGCAATCTGCATCGATGGCATAGAGATTTATAGACAGTGCTGTATCCTTTTACTGACATCTTACAATCTCTGATGATAGTCGTTAGAGCGACATCAAAGTATATACATTTCACGACCTCACGATCTATATTTACAGAGTAAATTTTTTCATTATATTTCATTTTTCCGTTTTACCAAACATCACTGGTAATTATACCCAATAGAAAAAAAACTCTGCCTACTATTAAACTTGTGAATGATTCTTCTGGAATGTCTCTTGGATGTAGATATAATTGGTAGTCAGCGTAGGGAGGTTGTTCTTTGTTTTACTACATATTTACCGTTAGTCAAACTATCTGGACTGGTGAAGGAAATGCGTAGAATGTCCTCGAAGTGTCAACAAGTGTGTTACCTTATTTGGTCTTAACTTCAGTTATGAAAAACCCATAAAAATATTAAACATTTAAAGAACAATGCCCAATATATATATACAAAAGGACATATGAACAACAAACCTTGAAGACAAACTAGCAGTAAAGCATGGGTGTTGCGGAAAACGAGTTTCTTTGATAATGCGATTTTTGGAGTAGAGCAATCTGACAAAAAGATAACATAATATCCTCCTTTTTCGCCTTGTTGCATACCACACGACGGAACTGCCCACGTAAAAGCGTGTGTTTGCATCGTAAATGCGATGATATGCCTCTCTCTTGGGTTTGGGGAGTTACACGCTGTCTGCCTGTATCTCATTGAGCACGTTTTCCTCCTCGTGGTCTGCCGTGCTGCCCCGCACACCTGCCTGGCTCCTGCCGCCCTTCCACCGGCTCTTCAGGTCCTTTGAGGGGGGCGGTGGAGGTGGTTCAACATGGACCTGTACGGGAACAAAGAGATGGTAGTTACTGCTGTTTTCTTTATCCAGACCTTTGTGCACGATTTTCTGCAGAGGCCACCTACATCAGGACATTTCAACAATCTCACAACAAAGACGGATGGCGCCACAGGCTTTCTGCAACCTATGACCCACTGATCACTGAGTCACGTGTGTCATCTGCACAACGTGACGTCACAGAAGCAACGGATTGCTCATTCCTTGACAAAGACAAAAAATTAGGGTAAATCCATTCTGTTGTGAATTACAGTTAAAACTTGATTTATAACCTCAAGTTTTTAGATACCAGAGGCAAAGAATGAAATCATACCATCACCGTGTCTGTAGTGGAAGTTTCCTCGCGAATAGCGGTGTACACGCCGCCGCCATCCTCCCCTTCCGGACGGTGCCGCTCTACCGTGGAGTAGGGCGGTAGTGTGTTCGTGTGCGCCAGTCCTGGGGAAAAATGCAACCGTTGACAAGAAATCCTTAATGAGGAACCTCTTTGCAGTCGGTATAACATTATCAGCAGTATCGTTGAAGTTTCTAACAAATCCTATGACTTTTTCTAAATTCCTGAAGAGTGACGTTCGATATTGAGTGTCTTTACTTTGCGTCCTCTAACGGGACTATGATTAAAAGATTTCACCTCCATATGTCAATCCAATGGCGGCCCAGTCTTTGCCAACTCTCGACGGAGGCCGTGGTTTGAGCGTGCCGTCCATCTCCTGCAGTTCCAGGTCCTCCACACCGGAGTCGTTCGTGCCATGGCCGGGTTTGCGGGCGTGCTTCGGTAGAGGTGGCATCGGTCGAGACGGGGTCCGTACAGTGTTACCTATAGAACGTAACAGTGGTTACATATGTTATAAAATGTTGGATCAGTCAACTGACTAAAGGCTACCGCCTTATTTTAGAGCTTGATTCTGATACATATAGCTGTATCAAATCGTAACGCGTTACTACTGCAATATTTTACGACTATCAAAGCCAGAACGCTGTTAACCTCCCAGAACCCACTTATTGTAGAAAGAGGAATACTTTATCTTCCAATGTTTAGATTTTATTCCCTAGCAGTTCTTTAAATAGTCACCATTTCCAATTTTCACTATTGTTTAATTGCACCGTCTGTATACTCATTATAAATACGTATTCTTCTTTCTTTATTTCTTTATCTATCTCAACTTTACCAAAGTAAGGTACATGGTGGAGTCCACAAAAAGCATTACATGAAGTAAACCGTAACAGCAAATGATAAGTCGTTAGTACGTTACCTTGCGGGGAATTTCTGAATATCCAGCCCCTCCTTTTGGCAAACAAGACTCCCACCAGCGCCGCCGCTGCCAGGACAATCACTACTACAGACACGGAGATGATGGCCACGAGAGAACTCCGGGAACCTGTAGGCAACACCACTGGGATGTAATTATAGCAAACATAGCTTGGAGCATTGCTGCTGCTACTTACATAGAGGGCTTTAGGCACCAGAGAACAACCTAACGGAGGTAGATTGCTATTAAATCAGACTGAAGAGAAAAATTGGTATTCCTTATGGAACTAGACAAACCGTGTATCATAACCTCCATATGTTCGTTCATAAATACAGTTGCCTGAAGAAATGAGAAGAACTAATATTATTAAACAGTACGTAGTTCACATCATTCTGTGTAGTTGTAGTGAGATATAACATTAATTTTAATCCTGCCATGACAAGAACTTACTCGGTTGTAATAGCATAAACGTATAATAATGGTCTTACATTTATGATTTGTTAATCAATTAATGAATTGATTAATCAACTTATGATTAATATTGATATCATGACTAAAACTCGCGGCATTGTCACTACCAGATGAATTACCAATTCAGCATCAGGTACTCTCTGTCATTCTGTACAGTGGAAAGAACAAAAATGTTATGGAATCTGGCCACACTTTTAAATACTTACCTTTAACATTGAGACGTATTTCCTTTTGGTCACTTCCGAACATGTTGGTTGCCTTACAGATGTAGACACCCCCGTCTTCTTCTCTCACCTCCTGTACAGTAACGATACTGGTAGTCCCCTCTTCTGTAGTGTGTTCATTGATCATTATTCCGTTATTCGTGGGAAGTAGTATGGTCTCGACCCCCTGGTTGTTTCTCCAAACCCATTTGGCCTTTTCCGGCACCGGGTCAGCTACGATGTCGCAGTACAGACGGGCGGTGTTTCCACTGTTAGCCGTGACCAGGCTCTGTCCTCCCCGTATGTCAGGCTGCCCTACTACGTCGATTTCTACGTCCCGTGTGGCATACTGTACTCCGCCGTCATTGGTCGCGATGCATTGGTAGATCCCCTCTACGTCATAGCGTATCCGGTGGAAGCGGAGAGGGTTTTCCCACCGTAGTGCTGTATCCTTCCGCCGCCAGCGGATGTGAGGTTTGGGGTTTCCGTCCGCCTGGCACTTCAGGGAAAAGTCGTCTTGATTGAACAAGACTGTAACCTTAGAGTCCATGCTGGAATCGATTTTCGGAGGATCTAGATCATAGAAAAGACAGAAAATATCACATTTTATGTATTACAAAGCTGGAAGTATTACAAAACGTACATCTAAAGTTCATAGATTGGCCATTACGACATGCATTGAAATCATTGAGGTTTTCTGTGATTCTAATTTAGCTTTAATACTAGGTTATTACAAGTATTACATGCACACATACATGTACGTGGATAAAGCTACTTGAAGTTCCCGTTTTGGGGAGATCATTAGAGTCACACCTCATGCACGTTAAAGAACCCATCACATCGTTCGAAAAGAGTAGGGGCATAACTCGGTGTTTGATGGGTCAAATACTACTATCTGAACGTTTATTATGCACTACAAAGTCCAATAATTTACATCATTACAGAGCGTAATCAAAAGAAACAAACATAACACAGTACAAACTAGAGAGGCCGACATTTGCTTGGGAGCAAATACAGCATATTTCAGTCCATCTCCCTCCCACGCAAAAGTGGACTATTCCAAACTTACCCCAGTGTAAAACTGGCAAAGATTCTCAAATAAATGAATTATATAGTAGCTATGTAATTGAGAACAAAGATGCAAGAACAAGCACATTGCATCTCGAAAGCTTTACTAGTCTTATTACAGGTATGCAAATACTAACAATGATGAGATTTGATACATTTTGAAGGTCTTAGGCACCTAAAATTGAATGTGTGGGTCATTCCGCACGACTTATGTGCAATGTGACCTCAGGTAACCCGCAATGGAACACGTGTTCCATGGCCAACAGCTGATGGAACAGGCCATTCTTTAGATAGAACATGGAATGGGTATAGCACTTTTGGCCCTTTTTTTGCTAAAAATAGCCATTAAAGTCCCCCAAATGAGTCATTTGGAAGTGGTGTATGCCAAATATGTGACTGCTATTCTGTAGACACATGTTCAAGGTACTCTTATACCGAATTTCAGATCATTTGGTTGTAAAACCAGGGCTCAGGATCCAAAAATTCATTTTTTTGCGAAAAATGCCCCAAAAAACCTTCATAAAAATTTTTCAAAGGTCTGTATCAAAAAAATGAAAAAAAAAAACGCCTGGGGGTATTGGCTCACTCTACCGCCATGCCAAATTTCAAGTCATTTGGCTGAATGATGGCGGAGTTGAATCCCTTTGACTGTGTGGCAGGAGGAGGAGAAGAAGAAGAAGAAGAAGAAACATCAGAGAACACAATATATTTCATCCATACCTTGGTATGGACTGAAATATAAAAATGGCATGTTCACTTACAGAACACTTCCAGTGTAACCGCACCGGTAGCGATCTGAGACATGCCGTTATCAGCCTCGCACTTATAAACGCCGCTGTCGAGTTTCGACACTCGTGGTATCTGTAGAGTCTTGTCTCTAAAGAAAAAAAAAAGAAGAAATGAACAACAGCTTTCCCATATCGCTGTTTGACATTATGATTCTGATATTACTTTCCTAAAGACTAACAACAAGGGACCCCAGTCGTATGTCTTACTCAAAGGTACAACACCGTGCGAGAGCATATATAGTGCAGGGCAAAAACCAGTAATTACACAGTTCGCGTAAACATTTTAGGCCTTGTTTTATTAATAAATAGAGATTACATTCTAAAACCAGTTGTAAAAATGTCATAGTCTTTTTTTTGACAGGGTGCTATAGTTATGGGTTTTAGTGCTAGTACTTTTATTTGTTGAACAACAGACTGTCAGCTATGTTTGGGTTATCTGGTGTGGAAGACGATAAACGTTAGCATGCGGTTAACAACGTTGGGGTGAGGGGTCAATTGTGTATCATAAGGTCACATCCACGACAATTTCAGCTTGCACTGTCTGAAGTTTACCTCTGAATACTCCCTATAGGCAACACTCCGCCCATCTTAGTCCAGGTGAGGTCGGCTCGAGGGTTGCTGTCGACATAACACGTCAGGTTGGCAGACTGGCCCTCCTTCACGTGGATAGAGGGGGAGGGCACCGAGATGGTCGGCGGGTCTGTGGAGGGCACATGTCAGTTTGTTAACCCCATTTAGACGGAGGGGGTACTTTTGGGGGGGCCCGCGCCAAGTTTCATGTCTCATAAATTAATATAACCCCTGGACAACTTGCGCAACAGCCAGCGGACTCGGTGCTTTCTCCTAAATGTATTTGACAACAATGCTAACACTTTTTAAAAACATCTCATGCAATTTATGCCATTTTTATCATGCCATTAAAAATTCAGATTTATTGCTGATGTCAAAATCCAAGATGGCCGACAATATACTTGGCAAATGTGTTATTCGGTATTTTCCCCGAAATTTCAAAATACTTTAATTTTTTCATAAAACATTCATATGCCACATGCGTTTAGTCTTAATCGGTACAAACTATGCCATTTATTCCAGAAATTGGGAAAAAGTAAAGTGTTGAACATCTTCTCTGCATTGATAGATGACGCGTAGTGTTTATGCAATGACAAGTACGATGCATGGTTACTCACAGTTCACACGTAGTATTCTAGACGTTGTCCTTGGCTTGACAATTTTCAGGTATCCCTGGTTAGCCACGCATGAAATGTTCGCCCCGTTGTCCCACTTGCTTAACCTGGGTATGAACAACTCAATCATCCGCCGCTCAGAGGAATTTTCTTCGCTCGACGCAGACGTAGGCAACACTCTCGTCCCATTGTACCACGCCAGCTTCGGTGCAGGGAAGCCCCCTCGCGACTTACAGCGGAGGTACAGCTCAGAGCCCGCTTCTAGTGAGGTCTCCGCTCCTGTGATCTCTGGCGGGCCTTCCATTGGAACTTAAATATAGGAATTGTTATCGACAAGGGCTCTTACAAATACACGTACATGTACTATTCCAAGGGAGAACAGAGGACCCGGTACTAATTACATACGCTAGGCACAGTTCGAAAACAAAATGAAATACGTTGACAAACATGAGTTGCAACAACGCTTTTGCGTACATGTATGTGATACAGATTGCAAATCAAGTTGCAAGCGTTTCATTCTATTCTTACCTACAACAGTGAGAACAGCATCACTTGCAGCCTCCACTGAGAGTGTAGAACAGCGGTATCCGCCCGTGTCCTCCCGCTGGACGTCCTGTATCTCCAGGTTAAACTCACCCCTGGACGGTTTCCCCACCACCCTGTGTCTGTTAAAGGCTCGGGACACGCTCCTGCCGTTAGATATGATCCTGTAGTTGGGTGGACCCTCCCACAACACGGCCTCATCCTTCAGCAGACCGGCGAAGGCGCAGCTGAGTACGATGGTCTCCCCTTGGAGCACGGCAGTAGATTGAGGCCGGCTCTGGTAGTAAGCAGATTCAACCGTGTCTGAAACAAAACAAAAAAAAAAAAATTAGTATAAAAACATGTTATTGACCTTTTCTGTAATTTACTTTATGTTCACGGTAAGGAAATTTCACGATCTGAGAAAAGTGGACATGTTCACAGAACTATATATTCACGGTGACGACAGGTGCAGGAAAAAGAAAGTCCAGGAATTATTTGTTAACTGTAATGATACGTTCACGGTACAGAGTATCTATAAGGTCGTGCGACGATCTTCGGTGAATGTGACCGCAACGCTATGTCAGCATTTGTATACAGAACCGTGCTTATCCAGAACCAAGTTTAGGCATGGTTTATGGGTAGTTCAAACGTATACAGAACCATGCATGGGGCAAATTTACGTTCTTGAATACATGGAGATATCCAGAACCATGTCTGACCCGAAACTCTAACAAATTTAGGCATAGAACTAGTAGGTAGACACGGTTTTGGCTAGAAAAGAGAACTTAAGTTCCATATAGAAATTCATAATTACTGAATTGTAGCATATGCCATACTAGAAAACCTACATCCATTATACTTCTTCTGCCGTGTTATGCCTTGGTATAATCAAGCCAGCAGAAGAAAAACTGTTTCATGTGATCCACCAGCATGCAACTCCAGTAACACTATCAAGAAAGCAGATCCAATTGCTGCGGTTCATTGCTCATATTGAGTTTACTGTTCTCCAAAGTTATAATTGCATTCAATCCTATCACCATAGTTTCACGCGTCCCTCCATCATTCACTCTATGATCTAATGGCCGATTACCCCCCTAGGGAAGGGAATCGATGATCACGATCCTGTATTGTAATTGAAGTGGTTCATATCAGGTGGAACATATGGTCCCCGTCGTGTTGGTCTTTTGATGATATTAAATCGAATTTACATATACCACATGCGTGCCGCGGTGGTGTGCCTATAGGTGGCTACATTGAAGACAATGTAATGTCATTTAGAACGGCTTATCCCTAGTCTACAAGAGTATTAACTAGTTCAAAGTGAGTTTTTTTTACCGTTGAATACAAGAGTCATTTGCAAGAAGATCACCCAACTGTTACCTAGTTGGCGTGAAAATAAAGAAATCACAGTTTCTTCGGATTTTTACCTCACTGTACATGGTAAAGCTCACCACAAAACATGATGAACATATATAGTTAATACATACAAAATAAAACTATCATTAGATAAATTCACTTTGCTTTTCAGTTAAAGTAGATATAAATGAATTGAGATTATGTTTAAGTTGACATTAGTATTAAACCTTTAAGAGTTATGTAGTTATACATTGTAGAATTTGGCTCTTATTGACAAAATACCAGGAGTACCACCACGTTCACCCACTCTACTGTAACTCATTGATTTAACAAGGACACAAAACTGCCTGGTATTGCCCGGCGGGCTCTTATATTATTTATAGGTAGATTGACTTCTTGTACATCTAGCGAACCAAGAAAAAGGTCGGACTAGCATTTTGATGGTACTGTTGTATTGGGGACCCCAGGCACAAAGTAGATGGGTGCACAGGTAATTTCAAGTACAAATTCCAATTTGGTTTACAATTTTCCTTTAAATCTCACATTGCCACACACTAAGGTCTGGCGATTCTTTGCCATCGCTTCAAGAACCGGTTTTAGATCACAAGTGACATGTAGAGCTGAGGTAGTCAGGTTCTTTCATTACGCAGCAACTCATAGCTCTAAATTGTCAACACAAATTGCAGTGCATGCAGTCTAGTCCATTTTCTTTTAATTACACCCGATGCAATTTCAGGGAGGCAGAACAGAACAAAATCTTGGATGAGGAAGTCAGTCGTATGTCGACATTTACTTTCTGTTTTTGGCCCGTATCTTTTGATGTTCATAAGATTTCTTTTAACTCATTCTTTCATTCTTTTGTCATAATTTCAAACTTAAAGCTTTTGAAATACCCCTAAAACAACATATACGTATACGTGGGTATCTTTATTTTCTGGTACCACCAGTAATATACCTAGAGCCAGCCTACGAAAGAAAACAATCAACCGTTTTCCGAAATCGCATTTTTTTGTGTCACAGATATCTGTATGATATCTGTGGATGGGGTTGATTAAACTCATTACATTAAAAAGTAAGACAAGAAAAAAGACAGGAAAATAGTTTTAATGCCCCGAAGTCACATAGGATGACTTTAAAAATGCTGACAGAGCAGGCGATGTGTGTGGCGCGTAGTCCCAGAAAGTCGAGGGACCCGCCGCGGAGAATATGCCTCGCTGATCGGGGCTTATCTAACGATTTCTGCGCTGATCGCCTGATTAGACCCACCACCCAGGGAGACCGGCACACGAACCTGGGATCGGTCACACCGCCTACATGCACGGTTCAGACTGTCTCATGAGATGAAATATATATAGGTGCTCCATCAGGGAATGTCATGGACAATCCACGTGTGCATCATGTAAAGTGCGGCTTAAAGGCGTACTGTGTAATATTTTTTTGCACTGAGAATTGAAATATATTAAAGATGATATGATAAGATATTAAAGATGTATGATAAGATGTATACTGACCCGCATTATCATATGTACATACAGTAGTTCATACTTAAGGTGATTTTAAACTGCGTAGATCGAAACAACCCCTAAGATGAGTCTTTTATTTTCTGGTGGTACCCCAAAACCCAGGATCCTACCAGTGATTGTCTTCTGTCATGTAGGACCCATCATACGAGTAGAAAAGTTATTACTAAACGAGTAGAAAATATTATTACTAAACGATGATGAACGCTGGACGTACTACATTATCATGTAGAAATTGTATCTTTGCCCAATGACTCAAGTCACAGTAGCATAAGCTTTAGAAGTTGCCAAATATTTCAAAGATAATAATTCTTTTAGTTGTTGTATCTCATAGATACATGACGTGAAACTTTAAGAACGCTGTTTCTCCGTGCTTGAAATTGAACCCCCGTTCAATCCCATGAGGCTAAAGAAAAAGTGACTTGTCAAACTTCAAAGAGATACAAATGTGAAAAGGTCGGGGAGCAACTCTCTTCTTTTACCACCCTCACCTCACCCTTGGCCTCTCTGACTCTGGGTAAAAGCCATGGGTCATTGCTAAAGTACTGTTTACAAGTGAGATACCCACTTTAAAGGCATCCATTGAAATTTCAGGGTGGCAAAACAGTAAATTTTCAGGATGAGGAAATCCTATATATGATGGTTACTGCTAGCCAGGCGCTGTTTACAAGTGAGATACCCACTTTAAAGGCATCCAATAAAATTTCAGGGTGGCAAAACAGTAAATATTCAGGGTCAGGAAATCTGATATTTGAAGCTTACTGCCATTTCTTGTCTCATTTCTGTCTTCATTTCCATATTTCAAACGTTTGAAATAGCCCCAAAATAAGCTACGAGAGTTGTCCTTCGATTTATGGTACCACCAATAAATAGCTACAAACATATTATAATAGTAGTTAAATATGTGTACTATATATTCCATATCATATACAAGTAGCGTAACCCATACTAGTAAGACACATAGGCAGCATAAACGTGATATGTAGTTTTAGTCAAAACGCTCTTCATTGCCCAATAACAGAGCAATGCAATATTACTACAATGTGAACAGTCATTTATAAACACATAAATGGAAAACTTCTATAGCACCGAATACGAAATAAGATTTTGTGTAGTATATAAACTTGGCGCTTTATTGCAAGTATATACGTGGATTTATAATGCCAAGCATTTATGTAGTGAGCCGTGGCAGTAAATAGGCTTCAATCTACTTCTGGAACCGGAGCTTTTATTGTAGCCCATTCCGAGCAGCAATTGATATTCTAATGCAATGAAAAAGAGACATAAAACAAAGATTCTATAGAGTCACTGTAATGGGCTAACGGTATACTCTGCTTATAAATACTTCATATCGTTCTGAGAGATCCTTAGCTTACCACCACACGCTACAGAAAAAACTACAAAATGGCAAGCTACAGTACAGCAATCAATATAACATCAGGTAGATAGGTGGCTGGCGGTCTTGCAGTACAAATTGGATAAGAAGAACTGTTCCACATTTTATCAGTGTGAGGTGAAGTAATTAAGCTAACAAATCCTTCCTGGTGGTCAGTTGGAGATGAGATGTATCGATCTTATTGATCGAGGGGGACATCGATCGATTAGGGGTCGAAGGGTCACTAATTACGTTAGGGTCCGAACTGTGCTACACAACGGCTCGGGTCTTAAACGCCGCTATCACACACTCACGACCTTTTCTCCGAATTTTTTTCCCGAATACCGGCCGACCTTACCGACTTTGCGCCGAACAATTCCTAACTAGGGTTGGGGGGAGTTCGAAAAAAATCGTCTAGTTGTCGGGAGGTAAAATTCGTAAATGTGTGACTGTGGCATAAGTCACGTATTACTTGTATTGTGTTTATTGCGAACTCTATACTAACTACTTATTTTACTTTACGTTTATTTGCATGGTTTTGCATCATTGATTGGACATCTTAGTTTAATGATTTTGCTCCTGCATTGCATTTATTTATATATTTGTTAAGTTCCGGTAAATCATGTCAATCCGTACCTCTGTTCTCTTGATTTATGTACCAAATATACTGTATCTTTCTCCGTTGTCTTTATTATCATACGCCTACACTAGCTCGGTGCAAAACATACATATATGACGCGTTAATAAATCTTCATTCAATCATTCATGGACTCATTCATCCACATCGTTAACATTAAAAATGTTATTTTCAATGACTACTTTTATGAAGGTGAAAATAAAAGATTATTGAACAAATTATAAATTTCCTCTTTTGATATCGTTCTCATTTCAATTATATTTCTTCACACAAATTTCTCAAATACAATCATCCAAAATAAATCGTCCAGAATGATGTGTACAGAATGTCCAAAATAAAAAGCTCGGAGTCAATGTTATTGCATTTTCAATACATGCATTCGCCGCCTCAGTTGACTGTCTGAATGTGAAATCTATGGTGATGTCGATGTAAG